GAAGGTGCAGAAACGCCGTAAGATAACCGATTCCTAGTCTGGCGTTCAGATACACGCACGGGTAGTTGCGCTGGCGAACCGGGGGCAGCTTCTTCTGAACTTCTCGCGATGGGCCCGGCCGGGCTGGCATCGCCGTTGCCCATCGCGGCCAGGCTGGCATCACTGTTGCCCATCGCGGCCGGGCTGGCATCGCCGTTGCCCATTGCGGCCAGGCTGGCATCACTGTTGCCCATCGCGGCCGGGCTGGCATCGCCGTTGCCCATTGCGGCCAGGCTGGCATCACCGTTGCCCATCGTGGCCGGGCTGGCATCACTGTTATCCATCGCGGCCGGGCCCGGATGGGCTAGCATCACTGTTGCCCATCGCGGCCGGGCTGGCATCACTGTTATCCATCGCGATGGGCCCGGATGGGCTGGCATTGCCGTTGCCTATCACGATGGGCCTAGATGGGCTGGCATCGCCGTTACCCATCGCGGCCGGGCTGGCATCACCGTTGCCTATCGCGGATGGGCTGGCATCGCCGTTATCCATCGCGATGGGCTGGCATCACCGTTGCCCATCGCGGCCGGGCTGGCATTACTGTTATCCATCGCGGCCGGGCCCGGATGGGCTAGCATCACTGTTGCCCATCGCGGCCGGGCTGGCATCACTGTTATCCATCGCGATGGGCCCGGATGGGCTGGCATTGCCGTTGCCTATCGCGGCCGGGCTGGCATCGCCGTTATCCATCGCGATGGGCTGGCATGAAGCCAAAATTCACTTTGTGTGTTTTTAGCGCACGGACTGAAAAATAGGTTTTGGACGCTGCCAACGCAACAGACTGTAAAAGATGCCGACACTTGTCCGACAGCGCCGACATTTATCCGGAAGTGCCCTCAGCTCATTACGTCATCCCAGAACTACAGTCGTCTTTATACCATTTCGGCTAATTCGCCAAATGTCAATTTGTTTACTAATACCTGCCTCTCTAATTTCAATTGTTATGTTTATTTCTTAGTGTTTACTTTAGACTCTTTATTTGAGCCTGTTGTACTGTCACTACCCTCCCTCCCTTGCTTAGCTCGACCGCCTTCCTCTCTGCTCCCGCCTAACATGTTGTTCCTACTGCCACGTTAGTGTTATCGCTAATCCTAACATCCCATCATGTCTCCCGTTCTACCCGTCTAAACACATCATCATCGCGATGCGGCCTATTACCTAGCTAGACCAGCAGCCTCATCATCATCATCATCAGCAGCAGCACCTTACTACCAAATCTATTATGGCCGGGGCAGAGGCAGAGGCAGAAGGAGAAGCAGAAGCAGCAACAGCAGCGTCAACAACGCCAACGTCAACTACACGCTTATACCTCACGCAACCCAGCTCAACCTTCTGCTAGTCCTTCTACCGCCTGTTGGCCGCTAGCTGCTCTCTCTCTGCTTCCACTTATTGTGGCGCGCCCGCCGCCATCTGCGCATTCACTTTGTCAGCACTAACGTTCTTCTTAACGACGCGCCTGACTTGCCCGACCTCTCAGACCCTAAACCCGACCCCGAACCTAACCCAGAACAGCATCATAATTTCCTCACCGTTATAAACTACGACCCCATCGCTATTTACTCCGCTTTTACAGCTTCCCCCTTAGCCCTACCTTACATTAAGTCTAAGCCGTGCTATTAGATTATTAACCTTAATAAGGCTAACATGCACTTGTTATAGTTACTTACAGGCATCTATATATAGGCTCTAGGAATCTAGTCTCTACCCTAAATAATACTATTATTCTTATAGTATATAGTATCTACTAGTAGTAATAATAGTAGTAGTATTAAGGCTACTTTAATAGTAATACTAACTATAACATAAATAGTAGCAGTAGTAGTAGTAGTAGTATATAGAACAGGACAGCTAAGGGGGTCTTCTATACTATTATTTCCTAAGTGCCTAACTAGTAAGATAACTATAATACCCTTACTATACCCTTATATACTATATTAGAATTACTTTATAAGGCGTATAGTCTTAAGGATAGCATAAGCGCTATATTTAAGTTAGCTATTAGTAATATAGATCTTAAAATTTTATAAGTTATAACGTCTATCTATTTAGTTATAAAACTAACTAGATTATACTACTAGCCTTACTAAGGATATACTTTATATATTTAACTATCTATTTAACCCTCTCCTTATATATTATAATACTCTCCTTTATACTTTAGAATCCTTAAATTAGCTATAGGACGCCTTAATAAAGTAGTATAATAAATATATATATTTAATCTAATACTATATATGCTATATAGAGAGGCCCTAGTAAAAAAGAAGCTATAGAGGTTTAAGGACTTTAACGCCCTATAGTAAAGGCTAGTAGATATAGTCTAAGTCTTAAGTATAAAATTAAAGCAGTAGGGGTTAAGGTAAGGCAGGATATAAAGTAGTTATAAGATAAGAGGGCTACACTAGAGGCTATAAATAAGTTAGGAATATAACACTAAAAGGTAAAAGAATAAGCTAGTATATATAAGTATAAGTAGTTATAATAGCTTTAGTAGTAAGATTCTTATTTTATTTATTTATATAGATATTTTAAGTATACTAAGATTTTATTAGTAGTTAAGATAAAAAAATCTTTACTATATAGTAAGAAATATTAAAGTCTACCTCTAATATATTTTAGCTACACTTTTACTTTAGTGTTATTATTCTCTTAATATCTTATTTCTTTTTTTAAACTAATAGAGAAGTATACTACTTATATATATTTATTTCTTACTAATCTTAACCTATAGTGCTACTATTAATACGCCTTATACTTATTTCTATCCTAGTCTATTTTAAATACTAATATAGATTCTACTTCTAACTTAGATCCTAGGTTATTAGCAGCCTAGCACCTAAACTACTAAGTAAGTCTGTTATACTAGTAGCGTCTAGCTAATAATATAGTAATCTTCTAGCACTAGCTTTTATATCTTAACTATATAATATAAAATATAGACTTTATAACATACTATTTATAAGGACTATTAACTTATATATTAAGAAATATATATAATAAGTATATCTAGCTAAATTAATTAAAATCTATATAAATAGTAATTTAAAAAGTATACTTACTATAAGGCTATAATAAAAAAGACCTCTACTAACTAAAATAAATTAGTTATATATAATAATTTATATATAATAAAAAGATAAAAAAAGTAGTATTACTATTTTTTTTATAGTTACTACTATTAATATACTAATTAGTAAAAGGGAATAAGGGCCTTACTATAAAGGCAGAGGATCCTTATAATATTATCCTAAAGCAGAAGAAGAGATAATATAATAAGGAGATTAGTATTAGACTAACTTAAGGTTACTAAAAAAAGCCTTAAGTTTAAAAGGATAAGTAACTTAATAGCTATAAAGCAGAGCAAGAGAGTTAGAGACAAGTAAATACTACAGAAGACAGGTAATAAGGGGGAGAAGTAGCCCTAAGTAACTTAATTAATGCGCCGGCTTGAAACAGGAGAAGGGGTAGGGCGGCTAATTAATTATTAAGGCGCCTGTAGTTATATTATCTGCTTTCCCTAAGTTATTATGTCTATAGTTAGTTAGGGAGCAAAATACAAGAGAGTGTCTTATTAAGAGTTTATATAGTGCACCTAGACTACTTAGTGCTAGTAGTAAATAAACTAAGAATAGTTATTTATTTATTTTTTTACTATATAGAAATTAGGTTATATGTCCTTAAGAAGTATAGTCTGTTGTTATGTTAGGACATAAGAGAAACCTAAGATAAACCTAACAGCAGCAGTAGAAGTAGAGAATACGCGTGTGTGTTATTATAGAGAGCGGTGTCTTGTTAGAACAAGAGATTAGAGGCATCTTAGTTAAGACTAACTAATAAAGTAGCTACATTAGGGCCATCTGGTATCGTCAGCTCTCTGTTCTTAGCCTGAATACTAGGGGGGGGGGGGGGGGGGGGGGGGCTCTAGAACAGAGCTTACGTTAGTAACATGGCGGATTAAGCTCATGGTTCATGTGAGCACTTGACGTCTTGAATGTTTGAATTTTGGTTGTGGACAACTAATTAGAACCCACAGTTCAACCATCTGGGCTCGTCATTTTGACATTCCCGCCCTGACAGGAATACAACTCACGTTAGTTACATAGCTAATCAGGTCCACGGTTCGTCTGACAAAGCCAATAGATGTGGGCAATGACGATGTAGCTTTCTTTGGCTCATACAGCGACGCGCCATCGTCATGGTGCACCGTTTTCTGCCATAGTATTGAACCACTATCTCACAAGTTTCCCGCAACATTGGCGCGAACGACTGTTTTGGTAAGCCGAACCTCGTGAGGCCTGGCGGATCTTTTTCTCAGGCTTGCTGCCGATTATCCTCGCGGCCTTGTTCAGAATGTCGACCTCACGCTTGTCTCGTCTGCGGATTGTTTAGAGTTGGCCCTCATGCAGTCGGTGTAGAATGCACCCAAGACGTAGATAGAAGCTGTACTTATCTACTTCCAGGTTAGATCTATCCCTTAGTGTCTGTCGTCCTGCGGGCTAGGCATCTTGCAGTCTCGGGTCCTCTGCTAGTTAAGGCAGATCAATCAAGCAGCTAGCTGTACGTTGCTGTTGTTGTTAGTGGTTCATAAGACAAGAAGATATCGGATCAGATGGGTAAAGAAAGGGCTAGCATTTTGTGGTAGGCCGTGCGTCAAGGAGAGAGAATCAGGCTATCATTGTCTGGTTTCTGTCCTGCTAAGAGGTTTGTTATTGTTGGCGCGGTTTAAGGCAGGAAGGGAAGGCGTAAGGACAATGGTGGGGTAATGTTTTAAGGTCCCTGCCAAAGGTACGGATAGAGAGTACGTATCTCCTGTGGGACAGTCAGTTATCATCCATGTCACACCACAGAGGCAGGAAAGTGGGAGAGAGAAGGACCGAACGAGATTCACACCACCTACCTATAGGCAGTACCTCTATTAACACCATCTCCACATCAGCCACTTCACACCACCCACCTCCACATCAGCACCTCCACACCAGCTCCTCCCTAAACACCAGCTCCATAAACACCAGCTCCTCCCTAAACACCAGCTCCATAAACACCAGCTCCATAAACACCAGCTCCTGCATAAACACTAGCTCCTCCCTAAACACTAGCTCCATAAACACCAGCTCCTGCATAAACACCAGCTCCTCCCTAAACACCAGCTCTATAAACACTAGCTCCTCCCTAAACACCAGCTCCATAAACACCAGCTCCATAAACACCAGCTCCTGCATAAACACTAGCTCCTCCCTAAACACTAGCTCCATAAACACCAGCTCCTGCATAAACACCAGCTCCTCCCTAAACACCAGCTCTATAAACACCAGCTCCTGCATAAACACCAGCTCCTCCCTAAACACCAGCTCCATAAACACCAGCTCCTGCATAAACACTAGCTCCATAAACACCAGTTCCTCCCTAAACACCAGCTCCATAAACACCAGCTCCTCCCTAAACACCAGCTCCCTAAACACCAGCTCTATAAACACTAGCCCTATAAACACTAGCCCCTCTACACCAGTCCCACCCTCCACACCACCTCTATCAACACCACCTCCACATCAGCACCTCCACATCAGCACCTCCACATCAGCACCTCCACATCAGCACCTCCACATCAGCACCTCCACATCAGCACCTTCCTAAAAACATCAGCTCAATAACTATTAGCTCTATAAACACTAGCTATTTAAACACATGCCTGTGCTGCTCCGCTGGTTTCTGCCTCTCATTTTCTACATCTCCTTACATAACAGGAGCTTCACTAATAGTACGATTCAGTATTTAGTCAAGTGGAGGAAAGGTTGCTGGGTAGCTAATTTAGTGAGACCAATGCCTTCATTCATGAAGCTGGACCATTGAGCTAGGTACTTAGGCGGATGCAAACAAGGGATGGAAATAGAAAAGCCAAGCAGAGGCAGAAGTCAGCTTTCCAAGTTTGATGGTAATAGACGCGCAACGTTCAGGCTAGAGTTTACACTTGTCGCGTGGGCTGTGGCAGCATTAGTGAGAAAGAAGACAGGTCAACCCCGACGCAGTATAGCCTAAGGACGTTTGTGAGTGTGGTTAGGTCGTGATAAGGTGGGAAGGTTCCTGCTGTACTGGTTACACTGCTGGTTGGTGTGTATGTGTGTATAACTAGGGAGATAATAGAATTACTAACCGCAATAACCTATCTTGAAGCCCTGCCGTGTAAACGCTGAACTAGGTACCTTGGGTACAATAGTAGGTTGACACATTCTACGCATCTTGCAGTGATAAGTGCCCTAGGAAGACACGTCGCGACCACGACTGAAGCACAAGCTTAGAGCTAGACAGCAAGTGTGATTGCGGTTTCCGCCCGGTGAGGCCGTTAGCATTATTAGTAAGTGAAAGCGCTTGCCAAGTGTTGATGTGATGAAGATGAGGGCATGATGACAAGTGACTACTGTGCGTAGAAGCAAGCGCAATACGGATAATAGAGACTACTAGACTTTAAGTGCTAGTTTTCTTGGGCAGCGGGCCATTGTGTCACAGCAGCCGTATTTAACGCCATATTATTAACATTAATGGCGTTAGATAGACAAACTCTAGGGCCTTTTGTGTCAGAATGGTTCAATTTATGCACGGCAGTAATTACCCAGAAGTTGCGCCAAGCTACACAGGTAGGTCTCCGTGTGTAGGAACATGATCAAATTACTCTCTTGCTCTCTGCTAGTCGTCGGAGCGGAACCCACAGCTCTGCGCCAAGGTAATTACTTCTTCTCTTTGCTTGATGTTATGGAAACCCGTGTTTCTCCGTGCTTGCTAGAAGATATGTCACTTTAACCTTAGCGCTTTTACCTAAGTATTGTGTTAATTAGGAGGTGATGTTGACTGGGAGGTGATGTTGACTGGGAGGTGATGTTGACTGGGAGGTGATGTTGACTGGGAGGTGATGTTGACTGGGAGGTGATGTTGACTGGGAGGTGATGTTGACTGGGAGGTGATGTTGACTGGGAGGTGATGTTGATTAGGAGGTGATGTTGATTCCTCTCACCACCACCTCCTGGCCATAGAACTCAATTATTCACCAAGTTTGTGACACAGTCGCCGCCAGCTGCAACCTAGAGAAACACATCCTTCATCCATCGCCGCCGGCCAAACATCATCTTCACTAAGCACACTGCCCCAAGATCAGCCTAGCCTGCAGCAATACGTTGTCTGTCGCTTCACCGTCGCCGTCGTGCATTCCTCTTGTTCCTTGCGTCCCCACCCATCCATCAAGAGCAGAAATAATGAGGCACTAGTAGCAGTAATTACTACTTCAGATTTCAACTAGGTACGTAGGTACTTAAGCTGCTTGCCTTTCTTACTCAGGTCGGGGTGGCTTATTCTTTCCTTTTACGACTAATAACACGATCCGTGAACAGGCCGCCACCACGCGACTCTTGTTTCCTCCAGTCAACATTCCCTTCTTGTCACAACAGATACGCATGCCGTCAGCCCCCCCTGTCCCAACCAACGTGGCAGATGGTCTTTCACCTTCTTTATTTCTTTTCTCTTTTCTCTGCTTCCAACCTCCGTCCTGTCCGACCACAATGGAACAGAACGCTGTAGACGCCCTTCAACCGCTTTTCGAGTACTGTGACGCCGAATCCTATCCTTCCGAGTCCAAGGAAAACGCCCCCTCGCGCATGTACTTCGATATTGAGACACGAATAACGAACCAAGTCGACCCAGTCGAGCTGCGTTCTCATCTGACTCCTCACACCCTGCACGCCGTTGTCTCCAGCTGCAACCTAGACCAGCTGGTCCCACGCGACCCTCAGAGCCTTCCGAAGCTCAAAAAGGCTTCCAAGACTTGGGCCATCTCCGACCACGCTTGCGTCTTCCTTCTCGATGCCGCCAACCACGGTCGCCGCTTCTTCACCTCCCTTCACACGTTGTCCAATCGTTGTGACGACTGGGATCAAGCCTACGCAGCCCTCCGCCGCCACGCGCACCACCGTCGAACCGTCGATAAAGATATGCCGGGCGTGAACAAGAAAGCCAAGGGTCTTGTGCTTAAAGACGTTGACTTGGCACTTGAGGAGTTCCCGCTAGTGAAGGAGTCTGCTATTGAATCGGCTGCCAGGCGTCGACCCGTTGAGCCGTCGGCGCTGACAGAATCAATTGCCGTTTCATCCTTCCAAGACTCTGGCCAAGCCGACCATTGCGAGGACGCAGATAAGTGGTCAACCACGAGCAGCAATGATCAGAAAGACAGAGACGGTGCTAGTGGTAAAGGTGACGACGAGGGCGATGCTTTTGAAGAGAGCAACGTCATCCAAGCGGACAATGGTATTCGACAAGACATTGGCGCTCAAAACCTTGACAAGACTCAAAACAGCGACAATACCTACCACGATGACGATAACCCACGCAAAGACGACTCAATTCAAGACGGTGGCCTCGTCTCTCCATCTACCCCAAAGCCCCCGCAATGTACAAAGGTAACTTGTCAGTACATCATGATTCTATCAAGATCTAACCTCTCCAGGTCGCTTCCACGTCGCAGTTCATGACCCCCGCCCTTTTCCTTCACGCCAACGCCGGCTCTCGATTGCCCCCCTCCATGAAGTCTCCTGCGTCTTCCCACCACGACAACTATCGACCTACATCTGCCTCGCCCTCAGGCCATGACTCATTCTACAACACGGTCATGGACGCCGACACATCCGCTTTGACGCCCTATCTGGGACATAATATTCCTACGCCCGAGTCTACGGTGATACTTTCCAGGCACCAGCTTGAAATTCAGCCGCTCCCCATCAAAGCTGCATTTGAGCCAGCCCCGCAGCATCCTTTCCATGCCAAAACAAAAGCTCTCGCAAACGCAAACCTCAACCGCAAGCGCAAGTGGCAGTCCGAGCTCGTGGGGCTGGAAAGCCCGAACAAAAAGCACCAGTCGTTGGCCATCTCCTTGGAAGACGACGAAGCATTGCAAGAGATGACAAGCTCAATGATGGAGAGTATGGCCTGCCTCCATCCAGGAATATGGATAAACGGCTTTGTCGTGTCGGCCGCTCTTGTCGGGCTTTGCAACCTCCTTCCACGCTCGTCCGTTCTGCTCGAGGTGCCTACGGTGGAGATGGGCAACGGCAACGCCCTTCCAGCGAAGAATCTTATACGCATCCTGGACAGCGGCCAGTCTGAGGCTGTTAATTTCCTTGTTCCGTTCAGCAGCGACAAGCATTGGTCCCTGTCGATCGTAACCGCCTCAGCTGTAACGCAGCCAACAGTAAAGTTATACGACTCTCTACCAGACAACGCCGGGGGCCCACAGCACCTAATGTCCGAGACACGCGGCCGCCTTACCACAGTCATGGACGCAGCCGGCTCTACTGCCATGGAAAAGTGGCCTAGATTGGCCTCGCCCCAGCCTTGGAGCGAATCGGCTTGGCTCGGCGTGAAACAAGACAACATGAATGACTGCGGTGTTGCCGTCATCTTGCACGCGTTCCATGCCATCGCTAAAGTTGGCCTCCCGCAAAACACAGACTGGCTTCTGTGGCGGCGCGTCATTGCGGCCTTTCTGGCGGTGCCGAGTGACCCAGCCGTACTGCCCGAGTCAGCCGAGATGAAAGAGTCGGCGGTTTTGAAGGCCATTCGCGTTGCACACGATTCTGAGCTTGGTCTAGGACCTACGGGTCACGTCATGGTGGCTTTTGATCTACCACAGACCCTAAGGAACATGGTTGTGCCGAACGACCACACGAGTGCCGGATCAATCAGAGCCGACGCCGTAGGGGAAGCTTGCGAAAGCCTCGAGCGGCTGGTGAGCACTATGCGATCGAACAAAACTGCGGCAGTTGCAGCAATGCGGGCGAAGCGGGCTCAAAGCAGAAACACAGTGGGTGATGTCAAGGCGATCATTGCCAACCTTCGCGCGCATTCGGTCCTGACGCCACTGGACGAGTGTACGCAGAAACAGCGCAGAGATTTGGACAGGCTTCGAGCAATGATCGCAACGTAGGAACGTGGCGGTTCGGCGAAAGATGCATTCCAGACCGCTCGAGCTGAGTTGGAGCGGGAGTTGCTCGTGTCCGAGGCCCGCGATAGGCGGGAGGCCACGGCGCGGGAGAAAAGCCTGCTTGGCCTGCAGGCGATGGAGCGCGAGCTTGCCATGTTCAGCTCGGCGCTTGATGCGGCTCATGAAATATTGGACTGATGATGGATTGGACAGGGGTAGCCAGCAGCATGAATATCATTGATGTGCTAGGAAATGGTTGCTTTGGGTGGGATTGGTAATGTCAGCCCAGTTTTGAGGACGCAAATGCAATTAAAAGACCAAATGATTTCGCATTTCGGGTGTTTGTGATGATTTTGTGCAGAATGCGGGTTGGATCTGGCGGGGTAGTATTTTCAAGTCCTGGTTGGGCCAAGCCGTGGCGAGCATACGATGCTCACGATGCTCACGATGCTTCCTCCCCGCCCTGCCCCCGACCGCAGACATTCAAGATGACGTGGCCGAGCTGCGGCCCGGCTACAGCTTCCTGCAAAACGAGCTCAACTCCGCCTGGGTCCAGCATCGGGCGGAAAGTTGTGGTGCACTGCAGGGACTATGTTGGACCAAAGAAGTTCTGTTAATAATATTTGAACACATGTGGAGCGGCCAATCCGCTCCAGTGTTTCTGCAGCAGCATGACAGCCCGCCAGCACATGGTTGCCCACGGGGTACTAGCGCTCGTACATACTTGCTAATGCTGAAGCGACGTCAAGCTATGTTTGTGGTACATTTTCGCACGTTCAGCGAGATGACTGACTTCACAGATGGCAGGAACCATGAAAAGGAAAGAACCCCTCGGGTGGTGCCTGGCCTGGCTTTCCCAACAGGCAACACCACAACCCGTCCGCTCCGTCCTGTTGAATCTAATAGACAAGCTAATGCTTGGCCTATTTCGCTCGGCCGCACCAAACAAATGAAAGGCAAAAGAACTTGCAGACCTCGCCGTCCTCTCTCGCCATGTCCTATTCATCGTCAACAAGACCGCACGAACCCGAGACCGGTGCAGCAGCCTCTCCCCCATCACCACCGACAAGAATGGGTCGACGCAACGCACACCTGCTTCCTCCGTCCCTGACTTGACCAACATATATCCGTGGTCCACGTTCCCCGTCGTGATCCTGGGTGTTTTTGGTTCTTGTGGGTTGGTGTCGACGCAAAAGAAGAACTTGGGACTAACTTGTTCTTGCCCGAAACAGGAAGTCTGCTGCGCTTTTCTCTTCTCGTCTGCTCAACGCCGCCATCCTCCCGCAGCGAGGTCCGCCCTAATGCCCGCTAATGCCTCGTTGACAGTTGCGTCGTTCTGCGTCGGGTCGAGAGCTCTTCACCATGCTACCGATGGAGTAAGAAAATCACCACCGGCTGGCTTGGCAGCGCCATGTCCTTTCAGACGTGTAACCGCACTGAGCACTGCCGTGGAACACATGAAAGGTGGATCAAACGCCATACCAGATGGAATTTTCTAATATACGAAATGCTAGTTCTGGCCAGGAAAAGCTGCTGGAGTTGTAATGAAAGTGAAAGACGTATAAAATAGCGGGTGCTAATTCTCACGCTTCATGTTGTATCAAGTCTTCTCATGACCGGCTTCAAGAGTTTCTGGAATATCCATCCGTCTGGAGGAATACACGTAGTCCAGGACAGTCTGATCCGAACCAGACAGCATCTCAAGCATGCCTCAAACCCCCTCCCGTGCCCTTCACGCACGTCAGTATCTGTGCCTGTACTCCTTGCAAAATTAGCACTCAATCTTTGCAACCTAGGCCCAAAACCAGCTTCCCCGAGCGCTGCTTCGACTATCAGGCCTTGGCCACCGTTCAGTGCCGTACTTGCGTCTCATTCGGCCGTCTTCCCCCGCCTCTGCTACCGCATCAAATTTCCTCGTCTTTGTTGAAAATTGCAAGATTGGCAGTTCGCGCCCTGTCAATACTCGATAAGGTCCGCCGAGTGCAGCAGATGGCGTCCGCTTACACAGTCTCCTCCGCTTGGTGCACCAAGATGCGGGTGTGGGAAGAAATTGCACGAGACACCCCGTCGATGGGAGAATCGTTGGAGTGGTGGTCAGACAGGTCGACTGCTCTTGAGCATGCGAGCCAGGTTGTAGTCCTCCAATGTTTCTCACTTCTGACAACTCTTTGTACCTTAGTAATAATGCTAGCATGATGACTATCAGCGATTGATCTTGAAGCACGGGCTAAGGAGCTAACCTCATGCGCGACACTGGCCCCGGTGATAGCACTGTGTTTGCTGTTGTTTAGTTTGCCAAGCGTGACCTCGGCTAGATTGAGAAGCACCTAGGTACTCGTTTTCGTCATCTTTCATCTCCTCCAACGAGACGCTAAGCATGCAGGCGAGTTAGAGAGCTTGGCGAGTGGGTTTGATGCCTGTGGCCATGAGCTCACTTGCGTCGTTCAGGTAACCAATGGTGCATAGAGACTCGGATGGATGAGCAAGAGCGTCATAGGGTTGGACCGAGAAAAAAGGCAAACGGTGTGTCCATACGGGGAATCCAGCGGGCAACGGTTCTGATGTTACGTGGTCGTCCTGGTAAATGGCGTTACGTCCTGCTTGTAGTCAGTTAGATATCGCTTCTGATTTGATTCAGAGTCACACTGACAAAGTATCGAGAACTGACTTGGCCAAACGGGACCGTAGCTTTCGCTGGTGCCTTGGGCCTCGCTGCCCCGGGACAGAATTAGTCACGTTGCCGGGGCCAACTGGCATAGGTGTAGAGCCTCTAAGGATGGCGGAGAGGTGTAGGTCATGTGGAGGAAGAGGTAGGGGAATCAAGAGACTGGGAATTGGGGAGAAGACGAGGTTGTTGATGTGGGAAGATGGGGTGCAAGGACAATGTGTCAAGTGATTTGCTGAGGTAAAGCAGGAACCAGAGAGGACGTGATGCGGTATGGAGGGAGGGAAGAAGGGATTTTTAGCGCAGCGGCACATTATTAATCAACTGCCAAAGATTCGGGTTGAATGCCCCCAATACTTGCCATGTCTTATGAACAAATCCATTTTCTCCCCTATTAAGCTGTGTTGTTTAACTTCGACATGCTATTTTCTCCTTTCGCGACACCATCCGCGCCATCGACTCAGCTTTTCCAGCTTCGATCTGCCTTGGGTGCCGGCAACACATGTTAGATCCGCATGCCTTGAAGACTTTGCTGCAATCAGTTCGCCATCAGGGACATACTGTCTGCCATTACCCCTATCTCTCTCTCTCAAAAACCCTCGACGACATATTCACCACTGCAGCTTTGACGCTCCAAACACAAGCACTGTCCACGAGCACGACACCGATACCAGTCTTGACGAACACCACAGTTCCCCGACACCCGCAGGAGACGAGAAAGACCCTGGCCAATAACCGCATTGAGGCCCACGGGAACGAACGTGTTCGCTCGTCATTGCTGGTTACCTCGGTCGAGCAAAACTGTGATTTCACCGTGATTGAGACTGCCGTGAGGGACAAATACAGGGAGGTCCAAGACATGCTCGAGATGCTTTCCGGTTCGGAGCAAGCTGTCATAGACCATGTGCCTTCCTGCCTTCTTCCAGTCGGATGGGCATCACAGAGTCTCTCGGTGATGAGAAGGGTGCGCGGAGCCTATGACAATGTCCTCCCGCTTGAGTCCAAAAGGAAAAAGAAGGCAGAATCACTACAGGCAAAGGCTGTAACAGACGAAACCAAGCCTTAAATCATCGAGGAAGTAGCACGGCTTGAGAGGACATCCGTGGCGACGGCCATCGTTTAGCACACTTGAAGGAACTCTTTAAGAAGCGTCTCTACAAGCTGTATGACGCTGATTTTGAGGCCGTCACCGAGGTGGAAGAACAAAAGCAACAGATGTCGTAAATACAGAGTTGGGGGGAAGGTATGTGTATGGAAGATAACAGGGGGGGGATCCATGCTTAGATAAGACGGCAGCTAAAATATACCACAAATTCATCCCATGTCTTTCATCGATCGCAAACCAGACCGATGTGTTAGATGCTGCTGAAAAGCCAGCCCGCCAAGTTCCCTTTGCCCCGTGCACGAGCTTACTTACTTGTTCAGCAGTCGTCATCTCGCAACCAGCTGTAATCGGCCTCAATGATACTTGACGGATTGGACGGATTCTTCGAGGACTTTTGAGACGTGGGTCCATCGACGCCTGTTCGGTCATGGATGCCGATTGCATATCGTCTGCCCCGGGACCACGTCCAGAAAGATGGACCTGGATGCTGTTGATCGCGGGGGTGGCACAGGCTTCAGCCATATGGAGGGGGTGGCGCAGCCATAACTACATCGTTTTTTTTTACTAATGCCACCACTGCCACCACCGCCACCACTGCCACCACTGCCACCACCATCGCCGCCAAAGTCTGGCAGTAGTGGCACAGCTGCACACTACCTTGTGATGTCGGACCGACACCACCTCTATGCGCCACCACTGCCACCACTGCCACCATTTCAACGCCTTGGTGGGCGCCCCCACCAAAACCAATTGATTTTCATACCAAGAGCAATCTGGCGATGCACTGCAAGCTGGGAAAGTAAAGACCCTGTCGCCTGCCAGCAAATTTGATGTGCGATGGAATACGTGACAACAATACGCTCTCATGTGACGTCTTCACAGTACGAGCAACGTGCTGTTACGGAACAAACAGCTTGTTACTGTCAGAGAATTCAAGGAACAGCATGATGACAACCACCAGGAATTGGAAAAAAAAAGAAAAAAGAATTCCAAGAGAAAAAGATAAAGAAGAAGAAGAAAGAGCCAAGGGAAACCGTCGGACGATCGAACGCTGCACTGTTTGGCCACGACTTTGTTATTGTTATTATTATTATTATTCCTTGGCGATCCATCCGGTTGCTGGGTTGATTGTGATGCAAAGGCAAACAAACCAAACTCGCAGGAGCGCCGTGCCTCTGGCTGCCACGAGCACGCGGAGAGACGTGTCCTTGAAACCTTCTGCTGCCTAGTGATATGAAGAAAACAAAAATCATGTTTGAAGAACTCGACCCAATTGAATTGTGCCATCTACATACATCATCGCCAGACCAGACGACGACGACGACGACGACGACGACGACGACGACGACGACGACGACGACGACGACGACAACGACGATGGCCGCACGCAACACCGGCCGCGACCCCTCCAATGGCGATTCATCCTATGAGCATCCCTCCTTCTACCGTCTCTCCCTCAGCTTTCTCTTCTCTCGTCCCACCCCGCAACGGCATGACATTTCCCTCTGCTTCCATGACGAATGGCTACGGCGCGACACCACCACCACCTCCTCCTCCTCCTCTCCCTCCTCGTACACGCTGCACTTCCATCGACCCGGCCACGTCTCCCTCTGCTCGATTCTAGATACCGACGGCCTCGACGATGATCATAACCCCGACCACCCCGACCGCTGCACAGGACAGTCTCTCTGCGTTGCCTCTATACATGTCCCCCCGCCCTCGATATACTCTGCCCCTGACATGATATTGATCCCCGGCCACACGCCTTCTCCCCGCCAGAATCTGCCGCCCCTAATCACTCTCCGACTGCTGCTTATCGTCCTGCTTCTCACCCTCATCTTCTTCTCTATCCTTGTTCCCTTGGGCCCATCGTTCCTATACAAGAATCCCCAATACCACCACTTTCACCATCTATTTACCAAATCTCCCACTCGGCTGATCAACACAAATCAGATGCTTTCGTACTACGAGCTCCTTTTACACCGACTTTTTCCCCTCAAACTCCTCCATCATGATGCCCCAGCAGCTGCCGGCTTCCCCTCAAACTCCTCTTCCTCTAGGTGTGCCATTTGGTGGCCTCCCCAGCAAATCCTCTTCTACTCGGATACCGTCGGAGAGCTATCTAGCCTTGCCAGTTACGGACCGACGACCACCACTACCCGACAGGCTTTTGTCAAGCTTGCCACTCAGGCGAAAGAGGCTGCCAGCTTGATCCATTCCTTTGCCGCCAACGACGACCTCGAACTCGAGTCAGACCTGCTTCTACTTCTTATCGACATCGAAGAAATGGCCTCAAATGAATCCACATCGACGTCGTCATCGTCGTCGTCGTCGTCGTCGTCGCCGCCGCTTTCGCCCAAAGCATCAGCCGAGGCACTCGCCTCAGTGTTTCTAGCTGCATTTGAACCGTCACAGCAATGGCTTACGGCATTAGAAGAACAGCTCACAATGCTAGAGCAGCATCTCCATCAAACCCAGTTGCTCGAAAAGATTGCCCTTAATAATCTGCTAGAGGGTGGTGTTGCTATTGCTGAGGGAAAGACGACGTGGTGGAGTGAGGACGTTGCCTTCTACGTTAAGCGTCTTCAAGGAGAGATGATACCCCGCCGCGATATCGTACGAGGCCTTGTGAATGAAGCACTCCTTGGAGTCCAGACGGCACAGGAGACAATGGCTGCCTCGATTCAACGCCTAGAACAAGTAGCAGCAGCAGCAGCAATGGGAAAGAGGTTGGGCTGGGACTTTTCTGAGCCTAGAGTGCTAATGCGCCAAGTGTCACAAGTAATCCGTCGCACAAGGGAGTCAAGGGCGCAGGTGGCCTTGTGGGATTCAAGAATGGGGGCCTCTGGATTGCAGCAGATGGCTGTTGACACACCGTTGGAACGGCGCCTGCGGTCAATGGATAGGAGGGCAAAGACCAAATGGGAGTGGGTAGCTAGGATATGGCCTCTCGGAGCCGGTCGGGAGGAGGATGAGGAGGAGGGAGACGTCGTCGACGAGAAGGCACAAAAGGAAGAAGCGTTTGCTCAGGAGCGCGTGCTTGACGAGGGGACAGGAGCAACAACGCCTTCTTGTACTCATAGCGAGTGGTTGTTCGCCGCGTCGAGCACAAGGTTGGTTTCCACCACGGCGACAAGACGGACAGGCCCGCGATCGTGAGGCAGACTTGCAAGCAATGGGCAACTTTTTGGCCCGATTGAACTGTGCACGCCAGCGGATAACAACGACGACGGGGCGCGTGTGTGTGCATGTCCTTGATCCTCGTTTACCTTGTTAGGTGTAGGAGGAACACACACACACACACACACACACACACACCTTCCCCCTTTCGGCGTGATCCATGCATCATGGAATGGCACGCCAATGGACCACGGACCGACGAGAATTCGTCGTTTAGTGTCCACACGGAGAGCTTTCGTGAGAAGGGTCTCATAAGCCATCCCTGAAGAGGGAATGACAAGAGTATGGTCAAGCCCTCTTTCAAGATGATGAGAAATCATCGGGAAACGTGAACAGAGGCAGGTCTGAATCCCTGGATATGGTAAGACAGACAGACGGGGAGATTTGAGAAGGCATGCCTCATGTGACGAGAGATCATCAGCCAATGCAAAAAATTGAATGGCGAGATTGCCTGCCCAATGGATGGTCAGACGCGATAAGAATTCATCGGTCCAGGCAATGATGCAGTGAGAGGAGTCTCACTGAGTATGTGTGGTTTGTTCCTCTTCCCTGGAGAGGGAGAAAGGAGATGAATCTTCTGGTTCCTGGAAAGGAAAGAAGGAAGATGAGGAAACGCCTGGGCTGACAGTAATGGGAAGGAACTGAAATGAGGGAGTTGGCCGTCAATTTATGGACCTGTATCCCAACACAGAAACCCATATGGCTACATGAACCCTATTGCCATTTCTGATGATGTATCCACGTGATGATGTGGTGGTGGTCTACGGAGGTACATTAGTTACGTCAGTAAGTCTCGGAAATACTGGTTAATCAGGTGCCGAGCTGACTGACTGCGTCATGGTTTCTGCCTATAGGGACTTACCTACATCCCCTGTCAAACATACAAACACTCACTGACAGATAGCATTCAATCCCGCCTGTTCATCCCAAGATTGCATGCATGAACCATGGTCGCCAACGAAGCAATGCAGTCAGCTACCTGCCTTCACCGCTACATGAACCACTCATCCTTCTTTGTTATGTCTACAACATGAACCTTTGGTGCATGGAATATCTGCACTATACCGCCGTCATGACGCCAACCCCGCCTGTTCATCCCAAGATTGCATGAACCATGATCGCCAACCAAGCGATGCGGCACCCAGGCAGTCTGCTACCGTCACCGCCACATGAACCACGCATCCCATAGAACACCAACCCTTTTGACCTCATCTTTTCTCCTTCGTCCACGTTCTTCGTCATGTCTTCAACATCAACCCGCAGTGCATGAAACATCTGCACCATACCGCTATCATGATGCCAACAACTGAACGATGCAGTAGGCAGTCTGCTGCCTTCACTGCCAACCAACATGAACCTGTGGTGGTGCGTAGAACATCTGCATCACACCGTTGTCATGACGCCAACAACTAAATCATGCGGTAAGCAGAACCAACATGAACCACGTATCCCATAGAACGCCCACCCTTTCGACCTCATCTTCTCTTTCTGTTGCCCACCTTCTTCATCAGGTCTATAACACAAACACATGTCCCACGCAATGCTCAATGCTGACCTACCTGTCAGCTACCGATTGACAAGAACATCCTGTTGACCCTACCTTCTATCATCCTGAACCTCGTTACCTTCTCTTCTGCTCTTCCACCGTTGTCGCTCCTCGCTGTCGATCTGATCCAACCGCCGCCGCCGCCACCGCCCTTCTTTCCCCCGTCAATCTCACTCAGTCGACACATCTCAATCCACTCTCCACTGCAATCATGTGCACCACAAACACGGCTCAAGTCATTGCCCACTCTACCCCGCCATTACGTTCAGCCCCAATAAACTAACTCGTGGGGAACAAACAGGAGGTCTGCTGCGTTCCCGTTTCCTTCTACGCCAACAACAGAAACCGAGCCGTCGGCTGGTGTCTCCTTGTGCGCGCCACGATCCTCTTCCATCTCTGGAAGCTCCGAGTCCTGCCAGACGACGTCAACGACCAAATGTTCGACAGCCACGTGCTCCCCTACCTCCGTCCTCTCTGCCACATGGGCCCCTTCTCCGATCCCTCCTCCGATCTGTTTGATACTGTCATTCTCCCCCAGTTCCGCAACAAGGTCCGCCATACTGCCCGGAAATGGGTTGTTGACAACCGCGTCGTTCTGCCTCATCTCCTCCCTGGAAGCCCCTCCTCCTTCCAGCGTTACCAATGGAATCCTGAAATCACTGCCATCTGGTTTGGCAGTGTCGACACGGTCCAAGATTGGCTCCGCATCTTGGGCAAACGGAACACGGCCAATGTCGACGCCCGATTTCCGCCACCTCTCCCTACCCTACTGCCCTCGACCCCTGGCCCCCTCACGCCGACAGGCCGTCGCCTGGCCGAATCCGTTGCCATTGCTCAGGGTCTCATCACTCCTCCCCAGACCGGGCCTCGCAGCTCGGTCGCTCCGACCAGGTATGTTGCGCTTGTGTGGGCACCTCATTCCTTTTCCGCCGCTCTCCCTTCAGTGTGGCTTATGCTCTCTTCTCTACAGCCTATACTCACACCTTGGACAGGCTCGACCCTCCTTCGACACCCAGCACGCCCATACATCCACTCCCTCTTCGACACGACAAGGACGAAAGCGCGTCTCTGCTGTGGACAAGAAGAACCAGAGACGCCAACCCGCACAGCGTGTCGGGCAGCGGACCTGGAAGTCTGACTCGCCACGGCAGCCGCGGGTCGCCGCCCATGGCGTCTCCAAGCGCCCACTTGGCCGGCGCTCCGCCGTTTCTCCAGCAGCACCAGGCAAGGATGCGGCCCAAGACCGACAGGGACCGCAAAAGGACGGCAGAAGCCACCCAGGCAGGGCCAAGGCAATCGACGCAATGCTCGCCGAGCGCCTCGCCAGCTTCAGGATTGGGTATTAGAAGCGCCATGTCCCATCGGACGTGCAGCAACAGCACTGTAGTAGAGCAATTGGGCAGTGGCAGTTCAAGCGTCATGTCAAGCATTACCTACAACAGCACCTTCGTCCCTATGGATCATTATGATGGCGGCGGCGGTGGCTGCGTCACCACGACCTATCAAACGGCAGCGTCGGCGACTACGGCGTCTGCGTCCAACAACAACATCACCACCCAAGCGGCTCAGGCCGAAGATGGCGACACAGGGCTTGCAGGGTACAGCGACATCCAGCTCGCTCTCGAGTGGCAGCTCCAGGCGAGACGTCACGTGCTCGAGGCTGATTTTCTGTTCAAGCGTTTGATGCTCAAGAACCCTTAGATTCTAGTATTTCTCACAAAGATGTTCTTGCGGTTTGGTGTGTGTGTATGTGTACGAGAGAGAGTGAGAGATGAAAATGCAGCGTTGTCTTGACTACAAGGCTTTTTCTTTTTTTTATGTCTATGCATATGTTGCGATGTTGACCATCGCCAGTGACTGTCGGCGTTATTGGCCTTAACACCGATGACTAATCATCGGGTAATTCACGGCCGCCGCCAAAGTCCAGCAGCAGTGGCACAGCTGTACCTTGTAATGTCGGACCGACACCACCTCCTTGCGCCACCACTGCCACCACTGCCGCCACTGCTCGCCAAAGTCCAGCGGCAGTGATGTCGGACCGACACCACCTCCTTGCGCCACCACTGCCACCACTGCCATTGCCACTGCCACTGCCACTGCCGCTGAAGTCTAGCAGCAGTGGCATAGACCTTGTGGTGTTAGACTGCCACTACCTGTCAGGTGAGCGGATCTTGTTCAGATGTCCATCTGCCGGCGGGCCACCGCTGCCATCGCTCACAGACATCTCCATTGGTTTCTTCTTTGAAGAACGTTGGAGGTATATAAGCGAATTTGAGAAGGAAAATGGATATAGCGATTGCATGCAGTTGAGTGAAGATATCTGAATGATGTTGGTGAATGATGCTGGTGGAGTGAGGAAAATAGTGGTAGATGAGGGGGAAAGGGAATAGCATCAGGCATGTCTAACACTACCTCTATGCGCCACCAATGGCTTCCACCTTCCTTCTTTACCTAGGGCCCACCTGCCCCCTCCCTCCTGCCCTCCTTGCACATAACTGCCAGCGGCACATCGCATCGCTCGCGTTTTGCCTTAACAAAACAAATTTCTACCCAGCTTCAAGTAAGCTGCCTGCCTGCATTCTCGTCCACTATCTATGTGTCAGTCTGTCCTCGTCCTCGCACATACGCAACGTAGCAAGAACACGAAAAAGCCATGCTGTGAAGTCGACCGCCAACACACACCAGATCCAAGTCCGTCACGGTTTCTCAAAAACACAAGATTCAGTCCGAAGCAACTCCTGTGCCAGACGGCTTTCGACTACAGCAACCTAAGCGAAGGCTTTTTCGTCGCTCCCCATGCTTTGACCCGCCTTGACTCATCGCAAATGTTTATCAAGAGCGACGTCCGGACCGTTCTCGATACCATCACCCAAGCAGCTGTCCATCGTCAACCTCCCGTATCAACACCGTCGTCCACGCTTGCCAGATCCCTGATTCAATCACTCAAGTCGGCATCCCCTGCGCCTCTAAGCCAGCCTTCCGCAGCTATCGAAACTGAGGATTCTCGCCTCCAGTTCAGCAACGTCATCGAAACCCAACACACAAACTGGGCTACCTCTTCAACATATCACAAAGAGTCAAAGGCCCCCCATTTCATCGCATATTTGGCTTCTTACCAGCTGAAGATGAACTCGTCTACCAAACGCCCGCGGCTGGATGCCTTGTCGTCCGTGTCAGCAGCAGCAGCAACAGGGTGTTCGTCTTTGCAGTTTGCAATGCATTACTAGATTGTTGCTATCCAGTGCGCATGTACCAGTTCAGTGAAGCACGTCTGGTGGCCGTGACGGTACCAATCACCACTCGTTTCCATCATGGCATCTCATCGTAATGCTCCAAACGAACAAACGAAAGTAATGTTAATCAATGCCTACCTACATGTCTCCTACAACTAACTCATCTGACCGGGTCACCCATCCACCACAGTCCGTATTCACTTCCCCTCTCGAAGCGCGTGCTGTCTCAACCACCAGAGCCGCTTAATCTCCATCTCGTGGCGCAGAGCCTCCTGCAACGCCCTCTCCTGAGCACACAATAGCTCCCCCATCTTGTCATCGATCTCCCCTATCGAGGAAAATTCGGAGCCAGCAATCGCTGCTTGTTGATCGTTAAGCCCGGCGACTGTAGTCGGTCGCTGTACCCGTTCTCGAGGACGCCGCCCGTCGAGCTGGGCCCGGAAGTAGTCGGCGTGCTGGTTGCACGTCTCGATGACGCGTCGACGTGTCGCTTGGTCCGCGGTGTTCAGGTCGAGGTTGCTGAGGCCGTCCATGTCAAGGATGGAGCCATCGAAGCGACGGGACGAGAGACCGACGGAGGAGGAGGGGCAATGATCGCGTTCTGTTTCAACCAACCCCAATCAGTTAATTCTTGGCACACAAAGAAGACGACGTTTAGCGCTCATTCTCACGATTGTTTCCACCACCACCACCACCACCACCACCGCCGCCGCCGCCGCCGCCGCCGTTGCCGTTGCCGTTGCCGTTGCCGTTGCCATAGCCATCACCATGGCCGACCACAACGCCCACCCCGATTTCGTTGCGCGCCTTATCGGCTTGCTTCTGCTCGTTGCGTGCGAGGAGATAACGCCAGTGCTGGCGTGTCTGTTGGGTCTCGGCGTTGGCACTGTCTCCGGGTTTCGCAAGCTCGGCTCGGATGTGGTCGGCCATCTGTTCGTCGATGGTGCTCCCCGTGGCTCGCGAGCCGGCAATCGACGGGGGGCTGGACCCGGTGAATCCGCCAGGGACATGGGGTTCGCTCATGTCGATGATGGATGGCTGTCGGTCGTGCGTATAGGCAGAGAGGGAATGGGAATTCGGAAACCGCGTGATGGGTTGAAGAATGGAATGAATCCGGTCGGTCGTATGTACAGTAGGAAAGAGAAGGGGAGAGAAGGTGCAAGAGGGAAGAGAAGCGGGGGCTGCAAGAAGCCGTTTGTAATTTGCCGTTCGCCGTTTGTCGTCTTGCTTTTGTGAAAACTCTTCACCTTTGCTTGCTTGCTTCCGCCCTTTTGCTCGGTGATCGAGTGAGCGCCCATCATACCTCATTCTGTCTCTTCCGTCTTCCACCACCACCACCACCACCACCATGTGTCCTTCGAACAACGCAACGCGCCTCTGCGACCAACCTATCAAGCACCTCTCCATGGCTGATAACCCACGCCTGATCTTTGGCGCCTCGTGCAACAAGGCGATATACCAGCATATCATCCGCCACCGCCTCCGCTCCAGTGAGTGCGTTTGGAAGGGTATTGACCAGCTCAAGGCGAAGATGTACCTTGTCCGTGCTGACGGCTCGTCCTGGGGCGCCGCCTTTGACCAGGTTGCTCTCCCGAGACTTGCCAACGCCCTCAAGAGTCGCCACCGTATACTGGTCAAGGTTGGTGCTGCGTCCGAGGGCGACGCGCCTTGGGCCCCGTGGGTTGATGGCCTCCTCCACCCAGACTGGTCGGGCATCGCGGCGCATATCTCCCAAGACGTCGGCGAGGCCTTGCTCGAGAACCTGCCGCAACGACAAGACGCACCCCAGCAACCCCAACAACAACAACAACAAAAACAACAAAAACAACAACAGCCCGAGCGACGGGCATCTCACCACGACGTCTCGACCGTCATCCCACCTTCCGCAATCGTCGAACCCTCCGTCCTTCTCGGGCCCGATGACTCGGTATCCGTAGCAGGCGCTCGTCTACGCCATGACCGCCACCGCCTCCGCCGTGCCGACACCCGCTCCATCGGCGAGATACAAGACGATCTGGTCTTTGGCGCCCGGCGCCTCTTCGAGTGTACAAAGCAGATCAACCGTTTGCAGTTCGACAGGCCACCGCCGCCACCACCGCAACAATACAGCCAGCCTCGGCCGAGACCAATACAAGATGGTGATGTCGCCACGGCGGCAGGCGTAGACACCGACGGGCACAAGGGCTATGACGATAGTGACGGCTCATGGAGACATGCAGTCATCTTGGCGCGCGTATCCCGCTGGCGCCTTGTCAAACGACTCATCAGCCTTGAGAGGGAGCTCGACCGAGCCTGGCGCAACACTCTGCTCGGTCCCGCGGTGAACGATGTTATGCCGCCCTCCAGTCTCCTGGGCGGCATCTGGCTCCACTTCCTTGGTGCTGGCGAGGAGCGTCTCCTCCTGCGGTCTGCTGCTGACACAAATCGCCATGATGACGGCGGCCTCGGTCTGGACGTCGAGAGCATTGCTGCTCTGGCGGTTGACGACAACGGGTTTGATATCATTGTCGAGGACGAGTATGACTGACGCTTCTCTTGCCTTGTCAGCAAGCTGATATAACAAGACGGTACTACAATAGTAGCCAATTGATTCCATCACCCCAGACGTTTGATGATTTGCACCGCTTAGCCTGGTTTCGATCTGGCAGTCTACCTCTGGTCATTCATTGCATTGCCCCATCCCGTGCTCCCTCTGCTTCTTGCGCCGCTCTCGCTTCATATGCTCCAGACATTCGCCAATCTCCTCGAGGCTGAAAACGCCTGTCTCCTCCTCCACTTTCTGAGAGTCCGGTTCATGCCCCCTTGGATATGCCTGCTGACCATAGTGGCGCCTTTCTCCCTGGCAGGTGTCGCCTTCGCGACTACTCTGGTGGCCGGCCTTCACCGCCTGCGAGAAGGGCAAGTGGAAAGGCCAGACGGAGTGGTTCGAGATGGCGTTCTTGATGCCGCCACACCTATCGCCCCCGTGGTTCGAGCCCGCGGTGCACACAGTTGCTGGGTGCGCCTCTTGGGGGTCGGAGTTGGAGTTGGCTTCCATCTCTGTTTCCCTGGCCTGATCTGCGCCTCGTCTCTCGTGGAGCTTGGTTCTTTCACCATCTTCCTCACCCTCGTCCTCGTCGTTATCGTCACCATCACCATCACCATCATCCTCTTCTTCCTTCCCGTCTTCCTTCTCCCCTTTCTCGTTCTCAGCCTCTCCGTTTCCGTTGATTGGCTGCGCTTGAGCTCGGTCACTCGGTATATCATCCTGGAGATCCTACCCCGTTAGCCTCTCGGGGACAGACGAACCAAACGAACAACGGAAAGCAAGAGGTCGATACTCACAGCAGTACAGTCTCGGCGTTCAGGCAGTTCTTTCCAGACCTGCTTGGACAGAAGCGACCGTAATGACCTTTCTGTCGAAACCCAGTTCTGGGGCCACTGCTCCTCGTCTTCGCTCAGCCTGGACATGTCGGGCGAGAGCACCCGAGCGCGTGCCAGGTCGGCTTCCGTGATCATCTTTGAATACTCGTGAGGGGGTTCTTGCGCGTGGAAGCGCTGGAGCTGGCGCGCCCGCAGCTTCCACACATCCGGGAGGGGCTTTGAGGCAGACATATCTAGACCGAGATATTAACGTCGTTCTTGTTGTTTGAATATCGTGGTCGATCCCAGGCATCCAGAGTGCCAGGTTGCTCGGGACCCCTACTTGGATGACTGCCATCCTTATGACATATACTTGGTTGTTTTCTCACGTGCATCTCCTCCCACAACACAGCGCACATTCTCTGTCTGGTATGAAACACACATTATCTTCTCTTCCCTGTCTTTTGCTCTTCCATCATTTTCTGTTTACGACAAGATTCTTCCAGCCATGTCCGTGCTTTTCCCGTTGAAACAATCTCGCCGTTGATCAACCCGACCCGGCCTGCCCCCCTCCCTAATCTCTCACCGTCTGTGTCCGTTTTTGACGAGAGCCTCCCAGTGCCGGCCGCAGATGGATCTCAAAGAGACTGGCCGATCCGAAGCCTGAAGCAAAGGCTCTAGAACCATCTCATTGTAGTGGGCACGCGCCTGGGGATCCGTCAGGAGCAGTTTGATAATGGCCACAACAAGTATGTCCTTCTCGGTAATAGCTGCGCTTGATCTGGCCTTGTTCTTGTTGACGTATGTAGCCCAGGCTTTCCAGAGCCTCTGTTCAACAATTGCACTAGATGTTGACGGTGATGGGTTGGTGACGCCGATAAACTCGTATAGCGTTTGCACCTCAGATGACATGGTGTATGCTTGGACCCTGTGGTGGATGGAGCAGATGTGCTCGTCTACGCCTGTCAACCAACCCCCCTCCACCCCGACGGGAAGGGAGCCTTTGTCAGATTCTGGCTGCTACTCATGATGGGTTCGTACTCTGCTATCATCACTTTTCACTTACTCAGTTGCTTTGACGTCTCGACCACGGTGGCCTTGGGTAGCTGCTGGGCCATTGGCCAAGTGGCCCTGAGAACGAAACCGAGCACGGCCACGGCCGGTACGGCGACAAAGGGAACCCAGTTGACCATGGCGTCAGGGGAGCCAAGCGAAACACGGCTGTTGACGGATGGACCGTTCGGCAATCCTCTTGCAAGGTCGGTCTGGCAATGGAACGGGCGGGTGTCGCTGAGATGTTGCTCTTCTATCCTGTTCTCTCCGGGTTCCCTCGTTGCTTATTTATCTTGGCTGTGTGCTCTCCCTGTTCGAAGGAGAGAATCCCGTGCCGTTGTCATTTGTTGATCATTCATCGTCACCCCGTCTTCCACACACTCATTGCCATGGAAACATTGCCGCCGCCGCCATGCGACCCGTCTCGGCGCCCATCATCCAAGAATGACCGTAGCAACCGCGGCAACGATAGCCGAAACAGCCGAGATGATCCGGATGGCCGAGACATCACAGCAACATCCATGGCTGAATCCAAAGCGCTGCTGAGAAGACGGGTTCAGAAACAACAGCAAAGAGAACAACAACAGCAGCAACAACAACAACAACAACAACAACAACGAGAGCAAGAACAACAACAACAACGACAAGAACACCGATCCAATCAGCAAGGGCAGTGGAAGAAGCCACGCAAGCATGAAGACGCATCCCGGCAGCCTCCCGAGACGAAAGCACCCCAGCGACATGGTCAACGCCCAGTAGTTGTTGTTCTGCAAAGTATCTCCCGTCTTCTGAGGGGCGTGTGGCTTTTATTGCGCTGGCTGTTTGCCCACCCAAAGCTCGTCGTTATCGCTTTTGCCGTCATTGCTGTCCTGTGCTCGGTCGGAAACCAGGCGTCGTCGTCGTCTTCGTCGTCGCCACGTTCGTCCGCCTCCCGGCACAGAGAGGTACTGTCACCCGTCATACCCAGCTTCCCATCCTTCTCGGACGGGATCAGCGACACAGCAGTCGTTGTGGCTGATGTGATTAACGGTGACCCCGACTACGCCCTGTATATCACACCATCAGTGATGCCGGCCCGTAATCTGCTTGATAACGTTGACTCGGCGATCCGGGCCTTTTCACAACGTCTCGTCCAGGAACAAACGCAGTACCTCAGACTCATTCACCGGACTGAGAACTCTCCAGCGTTAGGTCAGCCGCTGCGCAGCGCCTGGCCTTGGACGTACTCGCGACGACAGGCCCAGGCCAGGGATATAGCCCTAGGGCAGGGACGGCAGCTAGGCAAGCTTATTGAGGCAGCCCTCAGCTCACGCAATACGCTCGTGAAGACGCTTAGAAGCAAGCAGACGTTACAGGCCACGCTACACGTCTCTCGTAACACATGTAACTGGGCCAAGATGCTGGAAACCAAGCCTCAAATCGTCGCCGGCTTCGTCGAAAGGCTAACAACATTTGAGCCAGCCAAGGCAGATGGACCGCTGACCAATCATGACGTCCAGGTCCGGGACCTTGTAACTACCGAGGTTTCGCGAGCAAGGGTGCTCTGCTCTGGTTCCAACGTCATGGCCACCTCATGGAAGAGGTTGGAGGAGCACGTGGTCCAACGGGATGTCGAGGACCTTATGTCTGCGAGAGGGCAGGTGCAACATTTGCTGGAGCAAGTTGTTAATGGCTCCAACAATCTTGACCCGGATGAGCTGAACGAGTGGGAGGCCCGCTTGGTGGATATCGCCGTCGCACTTTTGAAGAGCATGCGTCAAGTCTACGGGAGGTACTCGGAAGTTTGATTTGCAAGCACGCTGTAAGGGGGTTGGCTAAGGGCCTTAATTGGGGAAGAACATAGGTTAAATTGATTGAATTGATAGGTATGGGTATTGACTTTCTGCTCGAGAACCTCTTCTTTACACATAGCTCGAGCTCCTCCGATTGCAGTACTGCTTCATAGAGACTGTATTAATGTATATCACCCCTTTAAGCTCTCTACACTATGTTGCTACAGTCCGGCGGCTATCATAGTGCCTAGCGCCATGCTGGTAAGCTGGGCCATTTGATGCTCTATAATGAACGTGGCACATGCAACGATGTTGCGACATCTTTGAAAACTCACTCTCGTCAAGGTCACGTCACTGTCGGGCTGCGCATTACAGTCCAAGCTGCCGAAGGTGAGAAAGGACATCGTCGGGGGTTATCTCCGCCTTGACCGGTCTAGTTGCCTCAAGGCCCTGGGTGGTGGACTTGCGCTCAGCAACCACCAGCATTCAGGTGTGGAAATGAGCGAGGATTTCTCCATGGTGAACCTCACTGCATTTCCTTTGACCATCTTCTCAATACCATCTCTAACGTACTTGTCGATTCCCCCGTATACGTAGCCGGTGGCAGAGCCATGCTTTCCTGTCTTGTCCTTAAAGAACGGGGCCTTGACGTTGATGAGCTAGAGTGTCTAAGCTGTCTTTCTGCCCTTTTTAATGGTAGGCTTGAATTTCTAGTAGTACGCGTCTGGGTTCTTCTTTCTAGTGAAGTCGCTAGTGGCCTTGATTATGTTGGTGTTCTCTATTGTTATTCTGTTAAATGAGCTAGGGGAGGCTATAGGGAAAGAGGTCCCTCCTCTGACGGTTGGTGGCACGGAGGTAGTTATATTCATAGCTCTTGGGAAGGTTGAGGGGTTGAAGCGGTCTGATAGGTTGGGGAGGGCTATTTCTCATATTCTAACTTGGTGTATTAACGTAACATCGGCAGTGTTGTTGTATAGCTTGTCCTGGACTATGGTAAGACTATCTCTGAACCTATTCCTAAACACCTCTAGGCATAACCCTCCGAGGTTCATCCCAGGCACCCCCTTGATTATCTGCGTCTATAGTTGTGAGGGAGGGGACAGAAGAACTATCTCCTGACTTCCTGTACTCATCAGGCGACACAGAACCTTTGGGTTGGATACAAAGGCTGCGCGCATGCTACGCAAAAGCATTGAGACATGATCTCGCTTCACCATGTTTTGAGTCACACGGCCTATTTTTCTGCACGCAAACGTGTACCCCTCAAGAGGTGATACAGTCTGTTGCGTTGGCAGCGTCCAAAACCTACTTTTCAGTCCGTGCGCTGAAAACACACAAATGTGAATTCTGGCTTGATGCCAGCCCATCACGATGGATAACAGTGATGCCAGCCCGGCCGCGATGGGCAACGGCGATGCCAGCCCATCGCGATGGATAACAGTGATGCCAGTCAAACGAAATCAAGGCTAGGTAGCGGGTGACGTACTATCAAGGGGCCTATTGCAGTCCTTGGAAAGATGCCCGTCTGTTACGTCACTTATTTCTTACGAGGCTCAGGGCACTCTCGGGGCCTCGTTGCCGCAGTTGTGACAAGCGCGGCCATCAACCACCCTAAGGGCAGTCACAGGAGAAATAGCCCACTGGTGATAGTTAGTAGTTAATAATACACAAGCAGTGTCAAGGAGGACTTACTCTCATGGCATTTGTTGCACTCGACATCGTCACCGGCCTTGCGAGGCTCAGTGCACTCCGAGACCTTGTGGCCAGACTAGCTGCAAAGGGGAAAGCCTTGACTGAGACGTCATCCTGTCGCAAAAGCCACTATTACCGTTGTTGATAGCGCCGCCCGTACGTTCAGGACAAGGAACCAGACAAGGGAGATTCCAAACCGTTGTACAGCCATCTACACACGGTCGCCTGGAACCGGCCCAGCCAAAGGCGCGTTATTTTGGCGACAAGATGGACACAGTTTCTCCCTTCTCGCCGTCACAGAGAGGAATCCTGCTCGTTCACAGCCCTGAACAGGAGGCTCTAGTGAGGATATGTGTGGTCGCAACACTATGGATTTGATCGGCGGACGGTATGCATCGAGATGTGCGTCAAGGCCGAGGGTGCCACGTAGGCTCGGAGGCTCGGATGTAGGAAGCATTGGAGAAGCGGCAGCCCGTCGGGTCATGTAGGCAAGGGAGACGACTGTTCTATAGAAAGGTTAGCGGTGGCTCCTTCCTGCGTTGCCTTGTACTGGCGTGTGGGGGCTGTATGAAATGCTTCGGGCGCAAGGATGTTAACACATTGGGAGGAACTTGGTGAGCTGGTAGGCTGAGACGACGCTAGACGAGGGGAGGACAAGCAAGAGAGAGAGAGAGAGAGGATGTGCTGATAGACAGTGGAAGAAGGGACAAGAACGACAGATGGGAAACAGGAAACATGGCGTACAATCTTTGGTATGAATTGACTGGACGAGCCACGGACTGCTTGGAGGAGGGGCAGAACTACCAATAGTGGTATTGACGATGACCGAGATGGACGGATGGGAGATATGGCGAGCGGGAACGATGGCAACCTGTCTGTCGGTGCCGCGCGCCCTTGAACGTGGCGACGGGTTGAGAGTTATGGATTCTCGCCCAATTGGGAGACCTCTCGGCCATTTCTTCCAAGACCACGACGCCGCTCGCTGCCAGCTCATGTGTATTGCGGGGAAATTTCCCAGACCGCTCAGCTATTGCCATCGGCACATGTTCCACAGCACCATTGAGGGAAATGGTGACGCGATGCTTGCGAAGGGTCTGTGGAGGGCGGCGATGGTGGCCATGGCTAGGGGGAGAGGTCTGTCGCGAAGTATTATATCGACGAGGGTCCGATTGATGAGGAGAGGGTGAGGAGCGATGGCGGATGGAACTCGAGGTATGGATCCAAGTTGTGGATTTCATTGAGAATCAGGAGATGGGAACGGTCATCGGGATGTTGGGAATCGTCGGCATCCTCGTTTCTGGTGGACGCGCAAATCAATGAGGAAATGAAAATTGGACTAGGACAGAAGCTGCGCGGGGTGTTCGTCGCGTCTCGGATAGTTGGGGGGCAAACGGTGCGCTAGCCGCTGAGGCACACACCAAGGTACCTAAACTTTGTTACCTACACTAGGTGACTAGGTACCTTAATGTTCATACCGGCTTGCCCGCCCCCCGACCCCGCACATGCCTGCTTATCCCGCATGTCGATGGAAACCCCAATTATTGATTTATGCAGTATACAATCGCATGCTAAGCAGTATGACCCCCACCCACCCACACTGAGGAACCAGCAGCGGGGGGGGGGGGGGGGGGGGGGGCATTCCTTCCCTGAGGGCCCTCCTCACTGCAGCCAAATAAGATGGGCTAGGCGGCAGGACTGGTCGGGCACATGCATTCCATGTGGTGTCAGGAGAGATAGAGACAGAGAGATAGAGTAGATCAAGTCGCTAAAGGGGAACCTCGCATGTTCTCATGGCTCTGTTTGGTGTCGGTGTGGTGATGATGGCCTTGGTTGCCAAAGGTCGCGGGACCTAGAATATCTGGACGCCATTCAATTAGAACTCATACAAATAATGAACAAGTAGCGGGAAACTCGTGCTCTACATTGGATTGATTGCTCAAATGTCTTTATCTCTGTAGACAATTGGCACTAGTGGATGGATATCACAGGAGGCTCATGGTTGTGTGGCTGACGGCATCCGCCACACAACCATGAGCCTCCTGTGATAATGGACCTACCTGTTTATGCTTTGCAAAGGACTTTGCCCACGGCAGCAACACGCGAGACCCCCCCTCAATACTAATACTCCATCCACCACCTACTTCTACTTCTATCAGCAGCTTTCACGGTCATAAAAAAAAAGACATTGCATACGCTTGATTGCGGATAGCAAGACACAAGATTTCCTGACTGCATAAACCGACGGGCTGCGGCCGGGTGAGTCATTCAAGGAAACCGAGCGTCCAAGACCCATAGACATTATCCAAGGCAAGAATTGGGGATTGGGGAGTGGTTCTCCATGTAGAGGATATTGGTTTGCTGTCTTTGTAGAGATGGACATGACCCAAGGGAGACTGGCTGGCTGACCACCGGTCTTTATTACGGCAGCTTGACAGACGGGCTATTCTTACTTTGGGGGGGGGGGCGAGTTATCCCTCTTCCTTCAGCAACATCAACCAGCCCTTCTTCTAGGTAACCTCCTATCGCTCTCTGACCTACTAGATGCAATGGCCAAAGGCAGAGGAAGGTTCTCAAGACGTGAAGAAGCCAGCTACAAGCAAGCTGTGCGACAAGAACCAAAGACAATATACGAGTCGCTTAAGTCTATCATGCCACTAAAAAAGACCGTGTTTCCACCATTGACTGTCATCGTCAATTCTCTCACCCAATAGCCTAGCACACGATCAGGGGCCAACAGAAATAGCAACGAGGCAGCGCCTCGAAATCAAGAGGCTCTGTAATTACTCCTTAATCTAGAATAACTTTGCAAAAGAGCCACTATAAAAGTCTGTGTGTGAATATGCCTACAAGTCAAGGTCTCTTAATCGTTGAATCCGGATCTCTACGTCCCGTTTTTCCACCTCTAGCTGTTCTCGTGCGGTGCCCAACGCAGTTGTGCCATTCCGAATGTCACAGAGCCGACGCTTCAGGAACCTCCGCTGCCTTCTCTGCTCTGCAATGCAATTGTTCTCGCATGCGGATCGGTTGGGGAGGTCAAGGAGCTGTCTGATGACATCGCCTCGCTTGCTCACTTCGGCGTTGAGTGCTGACAGCTCTGCAGTGATGGCTTCGGGAGTCTGATTGTTTTGAATGGCTGTAATTGCGTGTAGCACCTCGGATACATCCTCCCCGTAAGTCGCCAACTGGGCAACGCTGCTTGCTGACTTCTCTTTGAATAGCCTAGTCATGGTTTCTTCCCATTGGCGCCGAATAGCTCTCGCCTCCTGGAACCCCCGTTTCGAGAGCTTGGGAAGCTTTGACGTACTGGGCTCGTCAGGTATCTCCACATCCATGTCGTCAAGGTCTGCGTGCAGATTCCAAGGAGCCTCTGTCCCCGATGTTGGAATGAAGGCCATGAGAGTGCGCCGCCAGAGGGCTACATCCACACGGGAAGGCAAGCGCCTCCCGATGATCAAGTAGGCAGAATTGATGAGTACCATGACACCGCAGTCCACGTCGTTTGTTTGCTCGTTACATAGCATGGAAAGCAGACTTGTAACGTTTAGACGGTCAAGGTTCATTGACAGTAGACTGACGGTGCGCTCTACGTCTGGTTTCCAACGGTCCCAGTGACGCGAAAGGGAGTCGTAGACATCCATTGTTGGAGATTGCGCTGCCTGGACCAGGAGAATCCAGTGCTGAAAGCGAGGGACATGAATAGGCACCAAGAGGTTTCTTGATCGCTCGATGATCGTCGAATAAGTTTCGTTGCCTCGCTCTGCTGTCGTGCAGTAGGTCGGAAGCATGCCAAAGTCGCCGGAGTGTAAAGCACCTAGTAGCAGATGCAGGCATGTGTTGACTGCACTATCGTTTAGTCTTGTACCCGGCGCCAAGGTAACAAGCAGCTCTGGGCTGAGCGAGGGTGTCTCTGTGTCCGTAGTATCTGTCTCAGACAGTGTTGTTTCATCCGTTGATGTCATGTCAACAGGGGTGAGTGGTGACGTTTCCTGATAGACTGAGGTGTGCAGGGGAGCGGTGCCGGCTTCGGCGACGAGGTCTCGATGGAGGGCCTCTGCGTCTAGTTCGGAATGGACTGGGGCTCGAGCTAGTGACTGGTAAAACGACTCGTCGATGGGCGCCTCTTGATCTACAAGAGGCAAAGGATGGCTATGAGAGACGTCGCTCATGTTGTGAGGTTTGGGTGTCAAGTCAGGCTCGATTCCGTGATGCGCCTCTGTCTCGAAGTCGGATCTGACGTCAACGGCTGCGTCCTTGTCAGAACAAAACGAGAGAATGGGCTTATGGAAGCCGGGCAAGATAAGGATAACCTACTTGTGGAAGGAGGAGTGGCGAGCAGGGCAAGGGCTTCAAATGAACCACTGCCAGTGACGATTGAATAAGAACCGCGCTCTGTTCTTGGAGTTGCATAAAGAGACTTGGCTGGCATGGAAGGGCTACGAATCAGAAACGGTGTTGATAGTAGGTCAAAATCCTCAGCCTCGTCCTCAACTTCTCGCCCGATTTGCGTCGTATCTTCAGCGATCAACCTGATGCATTCGTCGCCAGCCATATGACTTAGTTCCCCTTCGTCTTGGCGGCTGGTGGTGTTAGGAGCCTCGTCGCTGGCACTCGGAGAGTGACTGAGGTCGTTTGGTTTGCAGTCGACCAAATTCTCGGCAGTGCTCTCTGGGTTGTTTATTGGAGAGACGGGAACTTCAGCAAGAGTCTTGTAAGACTCTGCGTCAATTATTTCGTTGGCGCGGACAACGTCGCTGGGAACCCATGTACTGAAGCGACTGACGCGACTAGGGGCCCTGCTGATGTCCTGTCTCTCTTTCTGAGCCTGTTGCAAGGCAGAAATACTAGTATCAAGGTCGTGGGAGGTTGCCAGACGCTTGAGGTGAGAGAAGAAGCGTTCGCTTTGGACGTTGTCGAACAAGGCTAAGAGACGGTCAGGGGCAACGTTCTACGTGACCGAAATCGACTTGATGTAGTAAGAAATGTTGGAGTGACGTCGCGGGCCGGCAGCGTCGAGGACCTTTTGAATCGGGAGGGGAAGAAGGGCGATTAGATGTTCTCGCGAGTGAGTCTTGCTGTGTCGGCGGACGATGTCCTCGAAGTGGAGGCTCAATTCCTCAAGATTCTGAAGCTGGCTTGATGCCTTTTCGGCGAAAAGGTCTAGGTCTTCTTCGGCAGAAAGCAGCGGCGTCTGGGGCCGTGACTTCTTGGATGTGCTACGAGTGGGCCGCGTCATTTGGATTATATTGTCTCTGCGTACCTATATGACGCCAAATGCTAGAAGTAGGCTATGCCTGTGGGAGAAGAAGAAGAAGAAGAGGAGAGACCAAGAAAGAAGTAGAGAGGAGGGAGAGGTGACATAGACCAAGAATGGAAAAGAATCGTCGGGGGATAGAGTCAACAAGGACCTTTCCGTAGGTACCTAGGTACCCTGAGTTGATATCATGATCTAACCTAGGCCTGAGGCACCTTGGCAAGGGGTCAAGAAGGCATGATGTAATGGAGGGAGGAAGAGGGGGAAGGAGAGTGAGCCGGCTGGGGGCTTTTATGGCAGGAACCTGACTTGGGTTCCTACGCAACTTCCTTGGCTAGTTTTGTACTGGTTGTTGTGTAGCTAGCCTACGCAGCTCTTGTCTTGCGCAAGGATATAGGTACCTGTAATTGCTGTTGAACATGTGGCGTTGTCAAGACTTGCCTAGCGTCATGCTTCTGGGTTTTAGGGTCATCAGCGACTCTGGTGTCGTTCACTAAGCCTCAGGGACTGGTCCCAATATGTGGGTTAGTGCAAGACAAGGAACCAAGGCAAGGGGAGTACGGAAGCTAACGGCCTAAACAAAGAAGAGCCATATGGTAGCGTACGTTTTGAAAAGTGCGTGATTCAAACGAGGTTTCTGGGCGTCTAGTGTTGGCTGCATAGCTTTTGACCTAGCCGGCTGTTGGTTCCGTAACAAATTGCGCGGGAGAGTCGGAGTCGAAGCTCGAGGTCGGGGTCCTTGGCGGAAAGTCTTTGTGAAAATAAGGTTTCAGAATCAAGAAGCGAAGACGAAAAGTGCGAACGAGGTATAGACAGACTGGGCTGTACCAAGTCTGTTTGAACAAGGGGGCACAGGGCATAATGGCTTCTGCAGGTACACACTGTAGGAGGACCTCTCTTAACATTCAGTGGGGTCGACTCCTGATGTCGGTCAGACATCTGGACACTACCTTGGGTTGGCTTTGCAGGGCCTGCATCAAGACTCAAGCCGCAGGTGATAAAAGCTAGATTAAGAAACTTGGGCTGTTCTATATCTCTTCTGCGTAGGTTTCTTGTCGTGGTTTGGTGACAGACGCTACTTATCTTGGTGGAAGGCTTCCGTGGGTGCTTCCAGTCATGATTTCACTCTTTTGGTTGCTCAAGATGGAAGGACGACCCGGATTAATTCGTGGAGAGGAGCTATTGTATCGTGGCCGTCGGATCTGGAGTAGGCGTTGGGTGCAACTCTGTTCCAAATATGCAGAAGCACCGGCGAGAGTTCGGGGAATTGAACCTCAACAACGAGATCGTTTCACCACGCCACGAACTCGCATATAAAACCATCTTGACTTCTCCTCTCCTTGAACCCAAGAGAAATTTCCCAGGAGCATATGTGACATTGTAAACTTTGGATAAACGTAATTCCGTACACTGCATCTTACAAAAGGATCGCCTCGCGCACCGTTCCGGACCAGCTGGTCTTCCCGACCCAAGCCAGAGGCCATTACCATTACGTAAGATGTCTGATAAGATGTCTGACAGACATCCTGCTCTGGCTGGTCGCGTCAGGAGGCAAGTGCTGCCAAATCATCCCCCCCTGCCTACCTAACAAGGTCCTGTTGTGAAATCAACGTCATCCCTTATCGCTGCCTCTATCATCCCATGATAGCGAACGTCTGAATCCTTGATTCTTCACACAACAACAACGGCGGCAGCAACGGCCTAGACATTCCTCTGTAGAAGCTGATGCAAATTTTCCATGACAAGGCTGGTACAAGTAAGAAGCAGGTGCGTCAGGCATCGAGAATGAGCATGGCGACGACAGCCATTGCGTTTCTGATAGATTGCCCTTTGACGCCTCTGAGCTCACATGGCATGAGGAACCAGCAACAGCAGGCGGTGGGGTTGCAATTTGGCATTCGCAGTGAAGTCCACAGGCGAGCGATATCTGATATTCCAATTTACATATGACGGGTACTTCTTCCCTCCACACTGACTGACTGGCTGACTGATCGATGCGGATAGTGAGACATATACGGCTCCAGAGACGACTCCATCACTGCCTCTCGCCACTCGCTTGCTTGCTGCGCCGCTACCCGGTATCTACCCTGCCCGTGATGCCTGTTTGCTAAGATCGGGAGATGGTTGGGCTGACAAATTCATGGATCAGGAGCTCATGGTGGCGGCGGTTAAAAAAGTTGCTGCAGGGACCTTGTCATGATGATGTGGCCGAACCAATATTGATCATGTAGCGAAGCATGGTATCAAAGTGCAAGATGCAATGGTGGATGGCATGCCTGGCACGCACTTACGGCAAAGCAGCTTTGTCTAACCATGTGCAGCGTAAAAACAGTGAAGGGCAAAACCTTTCTCGGCCACAGTGTGGTGTGGTTGGCTAGTGCTGAGAGAGGAAGGAGGAATGGATGGCAGTGGTGACTTCCATACACTCCCACCAGCCACACCAGCCAGATGTCTGTCAGACATCTGACGGATATGGCGCGGACAGCCCCATTGCACCCCGACATCGTGCAGCTAAACCTCCTGAAAGGCCACTACCACTGCCTCCTACACTTCCTAGGCCTGATACTAGGACAGGTATCAAGGACAGCGACCTGAGCTAGATACTGGAGGCGGCAACATGGGCAACCAATAAGTGCTGTAGCTTCTAGGGACCACGTGGTGGGCTGCAGCTGGCAGGGGACCGGCTTACACTTGTATAGGTACGTACTTGTACAATGTACGTTCCCTCATTCCATTACCACGTGGATCGTGGAGCCTAGCCACATGGACCCACTCCTTTCGCGAACGATTTTGGTGCAAAGCGTTCGTCAGAGAGACTCCGTGCGCAATCCATGCGCCACATGAACAGAGAAACATCTAGGCGAGGACCGGTGCCTCATGCCACAACATCATCTTGTGTTGTGCGTGCAATGAGGTGCGCCCGGCTGCTGCAACCGACCAGGATTCTCTCATTAAGCGATTCTGGAAGTGCCTGAACATTCCATTCCAGCGTCGTCTTTATGCCTCGGCCACACAAATGTTCAATTCCGCCTACAATCTAATGATGCCCTGTTGCCCTTTAGACTGGGAATTGATCAGCCTCATACATCTGCTCGGGCCGCTCGATTGACACCTGCATCCCATCCGTGTCGTATATGCCATAAAACACGAGAACCACAATGCCAGATTTGACAGTCAATACGACGGAGCGACGCAGACTCAAGCCATTGAAGAGAGGTCTCCCGGCCCACCAAGCGACACGACTTCCTCGTCGTTCTGCGAGACCAATGGCTGCATACCAGACCAAAACAGTCATGGCCGCAGCGTGGGTTATAGGACAATCCGTGTGTTCCGCAATGTCCGTAATGACGAGGGGGCCTTTAGACGTCGACAGGAATGCCACAAGCTTCATTGCTTCGTCTTCGGTCCATAAATTGACCTATGCAGGGAAGGCAAGTCAGCTTCTTCCCTCAATGCCATGTATGGTTGTTCGGTGCAGCAAGGTTTTCTTTGCTCTTTGTGTCTTGGAAGGACTCCCATGGGATGCATGTCATGGGAATGGCTTACCGGCTCGGGTGGAGGAGTAGCGGGAAGCGAATGATTGTCGTCGTCTGCGTTGTCGTTGTCGTTGTTGTTGTCGTTAGGCGCCTGGGATTGGGACCTGCTTTCATCTCGTGATTTCAATGTCGAGTTTTGCTTCGAGAGAATCGTCTTGTATTCTCGAATTACGTGAGCCGAGACGCGGTGACTGCGAATCGATTCCAAAGGAAGGCGAGCGTGATGTGCCAACGTTGGACAGGCGGACGGGAGGAGAGCTGTGGGCAACAGCAGATAATGAGGGCGGAGGCGGGGGCGGGGGTGACGACATCTTTTGTTTTCTAGAAGATGGCTGTCAGTCCATGTAAGTAGATCAAAGAGTCTATGTGTTGTCTAAGTGGACGGTTTAAGAGAATCAGCGCATGTATACTTACATTGACTGATTGGTGGGATGCAACTTGGAATGTGAGTGAGTGTTGCGACGAGTGAGTGGTGTTAAGTTGAGTGAGTGAGAGATCGGCCGGGGTCGAGTAAAGAAAGATGTGAGTGAGTGAGTGAGTGAGTGAGTGAGTGAGTGAGTGAGTGAGTGAGCTAGTGAGTGAGGTTTGACTGAACAGGACAAGCAGTGACGTGACGAGGCCTGCCTTCCTGAGGTACTAAGTTGTTGATTGCTGAGGACTAGGGCACACAGTACGCACCAAATGATACGTACGGTAGAAACCATCAATGCCGTCCTCTTTCTACGCCCTCGCCCTGAGCAAGTGTAGCTTCCCCATTCCTTGAAAGTCAGCCAGCAGAAGAAGAACTAACCTATTCCGCTAGTTTCTGCCGTTTTTTTGTTTTCTGTTCTCTATTTTCCTTTTCTTTTTCTTTGTGTTGTCCTCCCGTCTGTCCGGTTTCGTCTGTTCGGTTCCTGTTCGGTTACGCCTTGTCTCTTTGGTTCTGTTGGTCTGTCTGCTGTGTTTGTCTCTCTCTCTTCTTTAAGATGAGTGGAAACGGTCGTTTCCCAGCCGAGGGCGGAATGAATATAAGCGTTGCTTTAGTTAATAGATGTTGCCGACATCCTGCATCATGGATCTCAACTTGCTCTATCTTAATCTATGTCTGGCTTTAATGCGCATCTAGATACATGAACGCTGCACACTTTCACCAAAGGTTATCTAGAAGCCCAAACATGGGTCTAATCATGCTTTCTAGGACTACATCAACGAGTACCCGTTCCTCCAGCACCCGACCACGGCCAACGAAAACCAATGGGCAACGGGGGCAGCAGCAGCCATCTCGGGGCACCAGACGGCCGCCTTCATTCACCACCCGCGGAACCACGCCCAGGGAATCACCCAGTCCCTGAAAGATCAGGGCGTCACGCCCTCAAAGTCGCAGAACCAGGTCCAGGTCCAGGTCCACCTGGCATTCCTGAGGGATGCCTACGAGAACGCGCAGTGGCACCACCCCCACCCGTGGACGTCTTGACGCCACTGGTCACAATGACCAACCTCTGCCGCCAGCACGTACCGGGACAGCCCCCGTACCATCTCCTCTGGGGCCCCCATGGCTTCGTTCTTCAGGCAATCCGAGCCCACCCCCATGGCCGCCTCACAAGGGCGACGGCCTCTGACGGCCTCCGGCGCCTGCGCCAAGCTTTCCAGCTGCCGGAGCCACCGAGCCGCCGTCGCAAGACCCCCGCCGCCTCCACCGCTGCCGCCGTCGCCAACACCACCACGCCCGACCCCGAGGTCCCCCGCGGGGCTTCTATAGCGGTCCCAGCTCCGGGTGAAATCTCTCCCCCTCTCCCCTTGTCCCGCGGCCCGCCGCTTCAGCCCCTCCCTGGTCGAAACGAGAAGAGAAGAAGGAGAAGCCAGCCGCCGCCGCCCGTCGTCAGACCCCCTCCCCCCCTCCCATGCCCGAGGACGGCAACGAGTCCGATGACAGCGCGACCGGCATCGTCATGCAGCTCTTCTAGCAGCCCAACCTCCCCCTGGCGCCGTTGTCACGCAAGTACAAGGCCATCAGGGCCGAGGGGCTGGCCGCCCACGCAAATGAAGAGAAGAAGCGCAAAGCCGCCAAAGCCCGCCAGTTGAACAAGGAGAAGAAGAAAGCCACCATGCTGGCTAAGAAGGGAGAAGAAGAAGAAGAAGAAGAAAAAGAAGAGAAAGACGAAGAAAAAGGCTTGGATCTCGAGACCAAGAAAGAGATCGCCGACGACATTGCCACAGCGGCCGCAAGGGCTGCATCTAGGGTGGCCAAGAGGAAATGGGGCCATCTGCTTCAACCAGCGCGCCGAGGGGTCGTGACCCGGCGGGTCAAGTCCAAGGCTAATGAGGCCGTGATGAAGACCATTTAATATTTTAACCATGGCCAGTAACCCGAAAGACCAGTCCCAATTCCGTCGACGACGAACCACGGAGGACAGAGTTCGGAATGCATTGAACAACGGCGTGACGCCCTCCTTCTTCCGCTGGGTCATGCAGGCGCACCCCCAGTCCGGCCTCCTACCTAACGATGCTACGATTGATTCAAAAGACGCGACGGACATCGAACCCTTCCGATATGTTCGTGGCACCAGGGCTGTGAGTCATTCCTCGGGCATGATCGGACCCTAGATGTCCCGTGCTATTTTTTTCTCTATTTCTATGCTTCACAATATGCCTTTTTCTTTCCTTCCCCTCATTCTACAAGCTTATACTAAGAGAATACATGATTACAGGACTACCCCTTTGATATACTAGATGACGACGATAAAGAATGGCAACAAGGCTTGACTGCCGACGACCTGGCTGGGGCCAAAAAGGACATTCTTCCGAGGTTCGCCCCTGAGCAGTGGTTGGACGACGGTGCAATCACACTCCTTCTCTAAGAGGTAGTCAAGAGCAGCAACCGTTGCAGTATCTTCAATACATACCAACAAGCTTCAATTAGCTATAATGCGAACGACCCCAACAAGCTCTATCGTACCAAGCGCCGTATGGACTTGATAGTTACAAGGAACGCGCGTGGAAGAGTATGCGCCGGTTGCTGGATCTCGTCTTTGACGAAAGCATCAACTTCTCCCCTCCCGTGGTGTAGCATGTAAGGATACAAAGCTATCCACAACCAACAGAATGTACTTGTGCAGTACTGACAATATGATGTCATATATAGGCCCCTCAGCAGCGAAACGGTTACGACTGTGGTCTCCATGTTATCCGCAACGCCGAGATAGCTACGCGCCCCGCCGGCGTCGACGCCGACCTCCCCGCCCCACCTGTTGAGCCGGACTTGCTACGAGCGCACTACCGCAAGATGGTCAAGGACATGACCGTTGGTTGAACGATGTCTCTTTTTTCCTTGCGTGTTTTTTGTTGTCAGATGCCATGGCTGAAGCCGATGCGTTGGTAGTTGTCTTTTCTTTTTTGTTATCTTTCTTCCTTTTTGTCTTATGACTTGTTCTGCTGCCCCGACAAGAGAGTTGGTGGCTAAATGAAACAAAGTGATTTCACTATTGTTTCCTGACCGGAGCCTTGATGCGTGACGGCATCTTGTTATCTGTGTGTTTAAGCACATGACAACTTCTCCCTCTACTTATTTTTCTTAGCACGCACTGTTCGTGTGGGTGGCGTATGCTTTTCCTACTTGTAAAAGTGACTCTACGACAATGCACGAATTGCCAGGACAGTTATCTGGATGAACAAAGCGCTTCTGATGGGCAGAAATGATACTTTGGTGAGTTACTCCATGTGCTATGACCTGCCTGCCTTGGACTGCCTAATACTGCGAGTCTGCGACAGAGGCTTTGATTGGTGTACAGATGTTGCTAATCCTCACGGGGGCTCATTGGAGCGCGTTTTGTACTTCAAGAACTCTGAAAGCAAATCCCGTTGCAGAAAGATAGTTGATAGAAACTATCTGTGGATAAGACACACGACCCATTGTGACGCCAAACATCTCTTCAGCACTTAGGTAGCGTCCAAATTCAGCAGAAAGCAGCTACTGGATGTTGTCTATCAGACTACTTCGCCAAGTTCAGTACCGACAACTCGGGTTCCCAGAGAACCTTGCCTCTAGCGCAGCCAAACGTCTACTCAGCATCCGTCTCTCTGGCACATTACCTACTGCCATGGTGTAATCCTTCATACTGATAGAGAAAGAATCTTCCCAGTTGATTGTGGCTGGATGAAAGTGAGAAGAGTGTCGAAAAGCTTGGTCTGAATCGAGCAGGTGGTCCAGGAAGGGCAGCAGAGCGTTGGCGCTGGCAACCATTAGAGCGGTAATGCCGTGCGTACCGTGTTGTCCAGTCGCCCGGTCGGCGCCCCAATCGACCAGAAGCGCTGCTGTATCGAGTTGGCGGTGCGCTAAGGCGATGTGTAAGGCTGGCGCCCACGGTAGATCGGTCGGGGCCTGCACCGGTCTGTTCTGGAAGTGGACCTTGAGATGCTGTGCGGGACAAACGCAAGGTTGGATGGCGGGAAGATTGATGGGGTCCATGTCGCCTCCAACAGCCAGGTCTTGGACCAAATGCGGCCATAGCACTGATTGCGTCAAGGCGGCAAGGTTCCGGCGTTTGAGAAGCCAACGGACAACTTGGGTGTTGCCATTGAGGGCAGCGACGTGAAGCGGAGCCTTCAGGGCATGCCCGACGGCGAGATGGGGAGGCCAGGGCCAGTGATGGCGGCAGGCGGTGCTAGGTACAAGAAAGTAGGACCAGATGTGCTTGTGTTCAAGGTTATCAAACTCAGGAAAAGAACTTTATTGCTAGACGCGGCGGCTGCAGGGCTGCCCACAACACCACAGGGGCCGCGGCGTCCCTGATCTCTTGTTCGCAACGGCTTGAATGATTGCTGATGACATAGTCAGCTCTGCAGAGGCCTGATTCTTTGTCTGGCTGTGTGGTCGCGGATTCTGCGAGTATCGTGATCAATCGCGAGGCGAAGCATGCGTGGTGCTGTCAAGGTCGAAAGAGCTTTCGAGGTAAGGCAGAGGGCCCTCATCGTTGCAAAATCATCGGTCTTGTGTATAATCAATCGGAAGATGTCGCAGGGGAAAACGGGCCTCATGGTTGGTTGACTTGGGCCAAGTGAGTTGATGTTGGCAGAAGGGGACGAGGATGTCAACAAGAGAATAAGAAATACGATGAAGGAGCGAAGATGAGGTTTGCGGAAGGCGGTTGTCTATTCACCACCTTCCTTCAACTGTTGGTTGGCGCAGTCCACGTGATCTCCGCCAGGCCGGTACGGGCAGCCTCTTGGAGATAGACACCTTTTGCTTGCCAGTAGACATTTTCTTCTGTACACATCACAGATACCAGAATCATGGCGATTTCTCAACCGCCGTAGTTAGTAAGGTATTGCGCTACTATGGGCTAGTGATCGTACACTTGGAACGAGATGGCTGCTTTAACCTGACTGAAGCAAGTGAAGGGTTAACAAACTCGACTTTCCAAGTTGCAACAACTGTAGGACCAAACTCATCCTAGTATTTGTTGTCTGCCCTCTAGTCCGTGAGATCATGTTGTATTCTTTTGAGTTTCAACCAACATTTCAGATTTCTTGACCTACTAACTTAACATGTGAGTTGAGAGTAATTAGATGATTCTGTGATTTCTTCCATGTTCCCACCCAACTTCTCTTGAGGACGCATCGGATTAATCTTTCGAAGGCAATTAGTAGATAATAGCAAGTGAATAGAGGGTGGAAGCTTGGAGGCAAAGGCCATGACTTGCGAGCCAACGTTGCTGTCTAGGGAAGGGTAAGTAAGTATCACTTGTTCTGGCTGTGAGAGTTCAGGCTGCCGTAGTGGTTAGCGTACGTTAAATTCCAGCTGACATGAGTTGGGCGATTACACAGAGGGTTCAGGGGTCTCAGTGCACTCCCACTACGCCACTCCACTGCACACGCAGTACATGTACACTGAGTACTCTGTATCCGTACACAGTACGGAGTACCTCAGCCGATAAGTGGCCCCACCATTCTTATCGATTGTGTTGCCCAGAACTAGGCAGAGCGAAGCCATAGTTTGAGCCACAAGGCCCACTTCTTTTGCGAACGATTTTGGTGTAAAGCGACCGTCAAAGAGGCTAGTGCTGGCTCCCTGAATGTGGCGTGGCCCTTGGTGTGGCATGTGCTCAATGCATGCATGTCCTACCATACACACACACTCGGCCACATTTGACGACAACTGCATTCCCAGACCTGTCACAAGACGTAATACCCCGCCGACAGACGTGTCAGAACTCAGCCCTAAGAGCAGCACTGGGCCGCGCCGCATCATGCTGCGATTCTGTGGAAACCACAACGACGGGGCAAACCGCATCGGGCATGCCTTACTACATAGCATGTATAAACAATCATGGTGGACCTTACATCCGAGATTTGAGCAAATAAACAGAACTTGGACGAACAAAAACAAACACGACCCCCTGTTATAACAACAATGGTTCCATATTTGGTAAATCCCTGAAATGCCCCTATGCCCCGTCCACCTTGTTGCCATCAGAAGAAGCCTGCTGTTCTAGCTAGATTTCGCGCAGCTGGTGATCGACCTCGACGGCAGCCAAGAGATGCTTGCGCTGAGAGCCCAGGAGCTTCTTGACCCTCGCTTGGGTGGCGGAACACGAGGCTCCGTTGGTTTGATTGCCTTGACGCGTCCATAATGTCGCCGCCGACGTCTGCTGATGCTGACGCTGTCCTTGAGGTCGGATGGAGAAAGGCGGAGGCAGGCTAAACTGATTGTCCTGTGCAGTATGCTGCGGCTGCTGTTCTTGTTGTTGTTGTTTTTCATGGTGATGGTGCAGAGGACGATGGAAACTCTGGGGTTATTCTTCTCCTGCTGATGACCTAACTTTGAATGGATTTTACGCCACTGGTCATTAGAAAGAAGCATCGCCAGGGCTTGGGGGCCAGGCGCCGGGGCGACAGCGTTAGCCTCTCACGGTCTGGCAGTAGTGGTAGTGGTAGTGGTGGCTATCTTTGACTGGTGGACAGCACTATTGCGGCTTTAAAGGACGTTGGATTGGCTATTCGAGCGATGTAGATGGCGACGCTGTTGTCTACTTCCGTTGTGTAGATGGGAGCTTGTTCAGTAGGGGTGTTGTTAGGATACATGACGATGACGATGGTGGTGATAACCCAAAAGAATTGCAGCATGTTGATGCAGCAATGGTAGACTATTGATATTGATGTTTTGGCTGAAGCAGAGATGAGATACATATACCTATTTTCATTGCCACCACTGAACAACAAGATAATAATAGTGCAAGTTGATTCGCCATCTTTAGCTATAAGTTAGACCAAGGGAGAGAGGAAAGACGCAACTAACGGTTGGCGGGCCAATATTCATAGTGAGATGTGACGGCCGTGTATTCGCTCTCATCTTCTCTCCATCCCGTTCCTTGTCCTCTGTGCTGCATCATGGCATTCATTTGGTCCATCTCCCAGCCTCAGAATCAAACACCATCGTTTTCAGAGGGGTCCAGGACAAAATCGCCCGAGACTGCCCATCCGGTGTAGCAAAGCTAACAATCAGAAGCCAAAGAATAGCTGGTCCATGGACTGCGAAATGGACTGTTAATATGGCAAAGGGACTATAAAACACGGCTGGGGCAGCCACTCTCATCCGCCCGCACTCTCCTCACTCGCCAAAAGCGCTCTTCTCATGTCGTATCCCTTTTCGCAGTGACACACAGAACAGTATAAAATTATCAAGAAACAAAGAAGACAACCAACCGACAACAACATGATGAGATACCCTATTATGGCGGGTCTGGTATGTAGCTTTGTATATGTTGTTGTATTCTGGCTTGCTTGACTGCATAGTCTATCTTTGCTGGTGCCTATTATCAGTAATCCTAATTGCCAGAGTAAGTCAAAGTTCCCCTGTCCCTAGAGTCGGGAAAATCACAGACGTGTTGCCGCGGAAACTCTAACAAGTTAATCCTTTTCCCCCCTGTTCTCACAGAAGCCACTGCCTATATCTATGACATATGCTAGGACTACCTGCCCTTAGCTCAGCAACGCAGGTCAAAACGCTGTACAAGGCCTTGGGCTTGGACGCCGTTCGGAATCCAGGCGTTGCAGACATCTGGCTGGCGCTGCGGGACCAAGTCGAGGGAAATTACTACGCAAATGGCGCTCCCCTGGACGACGACGGCGACGACGGCCCCTTCGTCGGCTTGCTGCATAGAGATAACAAGGTGGATTAGGGTGACAATAGTAAGCTACGACGAGATCCACCTCCGCCGACCCCGGCGCCCCAGGCTACCGACGTTTGGGCACAGATTGGCATGCTTTTGATCGACAGCAAGCTGCGCACAACGTACGACCAGGCCTTTATGCCCTTTCTGACGGGACTGGGGTCGATTGGACGGCAGCGCTGGGCAGGACGTGTCGGTGGAATGAAGAGCAATGACGGGGCACAGGTGGATGGATGTATGGATGCTTGGTTTATGTTGAGATAGTGAGACGGCCGCTGCATAAGACCTCCTTTTTCCCTCTTTCTTTCTTTCTTTCTTTCTTTCAAAATAATCGAGCGAAGCGACTGGGGTAGAGGCTAAGCTTACTAGTACCTTAGAAGACCTTGTTCGCCTATTGAGTACATGGACCATACGCCTTCCACCTGGCACATCCCATGAATGACCATGGCCCACCATGTCGTTGCCCGCGGTAAGTTTACTGTGTACTAATGCGTTATCTTCCTAGGACGTAACTGCTTCATCTCCCTCCCTGTTCTTCCCATCCTTCTCTCTCTCTCTCGCTTCATCCCAAAAGGCGTGAACCACAGAACTAAACGGCTGCCTCTGTTTTCTCCACCTTGCGAGCCGTTAGGGCAAGAAGATAAGCACTTTCTGGTCACGCCCTCTGGGAACAGTATGCCCGTATGATCCCAAGACTCTACTACGCTAATAACCCTCTACACCCTTACAAAAGTCTTATAACTGCTAAAGATTACGCCTGCGCCAAGTTCCTGTAGCCCAAGTATGAGCTCCTAGCTGCTGTCCAAGACGACGACAACGGCGGCAGCGGCGGCTGCGTCAACGAAGAAACCAACAATAATGGCAAAACGACCCAAGAGATCGCGTGGCCTAAACAATAGGACAACCGTAGGTCTCTGGCGGGTGCGCCGTACCGTACATAATGGAAGGCCTTTGCCACCACCCACAGAAAAGAGACGGTTCGTTTTCTCCCTCTTCTTCGCTCGTCCAGGCTGGCTCTCTTGCTCCCCCATCTAATAAACTTGTTGACTCCCCCTTGGCTGACCTGGGCAGAAGAATCAAAGAACGACCTAGACGACTGAACACCTGCCCCAAAACCACACCAGAAACCACCCTTAGGATCACAGCCGCCTGCAACAGTACATCACAGGCACAACAATATAGACTCGCAGGTTCCTCTAAAGGATCTTCAACACCGAACCGAGCTCGACCAACACCCTACGGTGACACCTGCCATCGTTAGGCCCGACAACCACTGTATTCCCAATTGCCACCCGCAGCAAGCCGACAACGCTCAGGCTGACCCTCCAAACAGCCTTCCGTCGCAGGAGGGATTGAAGCTGCCCCCCCACCTGGCCGAGCATCACAGGGTACACAAGGTTCTAACAGTCTCAAAACGGAATCACCGGGTGCAACCTCGTCCTAGTCCTTGTCGTTCTGGCCAATGTTTCTTTAATCACGCCGAGCGGGTGTAGTCGGGATCGAAGCAGCCGCCATGTCACTCGATGCACAAGAGACCTCGGGTCCAGGCTTTCCAGACGCGCTCGCCATCCGTCTGGCGCACGAGGCCCAGAAGGATGGCTTCTGAGGCACAGCGAGACAGGCCGGGCTGAATCTTGCAGTAGGAAACAAGGTCCCAGGCGGCGCCCCAGGACGTGTTGTCTGAGCGGACGAGGTATAGCCCCCGGGCGACGCGATCCCACTGCTTGAAGTCGGCGGTGGTGGGAGAGAGCTGGAAGAGGATGACGTGCTGCCATATGCGGCACTTACAGCCGGGGGCGAAGGAGATGTGGGTGTCGGTGATACGGAGGTGTTGGACTTCGGAGCGGCAGACGTGCTGTGTGTGATGCCCACGTCCGCTCAGCATACAGACGAGGCAAGAGAGGTTGGTGAGCATTTGGATATTTGACTGACCTTCTCGCTGTTGGGCGGGCACATGGATGACGAGCGGCGGCGACAAAAACGACGACGACGACGAACGGTGGGAAGTGGGAAAGGACGTTAACATGTGAGCTTTTGCTGTTGTTGTTGTTGTTGTTGTATTATTTAACGCCAGGGACGTTCCTAAGCAGGACAAAGGGCGCCTGGGGAAGCCAGCTTCTAATATACACGTTAAGTATACAATGTCCACTAAACTACAGTTTCCACTAGCCTATTATATATATCTTTAGTTAACTATATCTAGGAGTTTTAAACTATTATACTATTATTATTATTATTGGTATAAGTAGTTCTTTAGTAACCTAGTTCTTTTTATACCCTTTATTTATTTATAGTTTCTTAACTTTAGCTAAGAAAAGGTTCTTATATATTCTTTTATATAGTACTATTTATATATCCCTATAGACAAGGATTTACTATTACTATTTATAACTATAAAGGAAAAATAAAGAAAAAAAGAAAAAGAAATATTAAAAAAGTTATATATAGTATTTTTATAATATACTAGACACTACTGTTTAGCCCTATAGGTTAAAGGGTACTATAAAAAGAGTATAAAAGTAATTTATTTAAAATAGTGCTATACTCTTTATAGCCTACTTTACTACTTAATAAAGGCTTATAATAGTATAAGTTTATTTTATATTATATATCTAGGGGCTTTATAGCTACTATAAAGTATTATAGTAATAGACTTAGGTATATATCTTTATTTAGGATAAATCTTATTATAAAAGTTATTAAAGTATATCTATTTAATATAGGCTTTATAGCTTACTAAAAGTAAGTATTTTATATATATCTCCTTATTAAACTATAAAATTAGCTATATATATTATACCCTTTAGTAAAAGAAGAGATATACTAGTGTCTTAAGTTATTTATAAAAGTATTTTCTTAATACCTCTATATAGTTAAACTTATTATAATATTTAGTATAGTCCCTATAGCTTATTTTTACTATAATTAGCTAGTATAGTTTTATTTAGGAAAGTATAAAAAGTTTAGGTATTAAGTATAATTTAGTACTTAGTTATAGTTATAAGTATTCTTTTAGCTAGTTTTTTTTTTACTAGGCCTAGAGAGTCTATTACTATTTCTTTTTAATTTTATACTTAATATATATATAAGTTAGAAAGTATATATATAAATTAGCTAAGGCTATAAGTACTTCTTATTATACTAGTTTATTTACCTTTTTATTACTAAGGATATCCTTATGTTCTAGTACTTACTAAATACTAATATATTCTTAATATAATAAAACAGTTATCCTAAAGTTAATAATTACCTTTTATAATAATATTACTAAGGCGCTATCTAGGTATAAGATTATAGTAAAGTTATCTAAGTAAATAGTAATATTATTAATTTACCTTTTAGTATACCTTAGAGCTACCCTTAGGCTAGCTTTAGCTTTTTTTACTTCTATATTAAACACTTTAGTGTTTAATAGTCTTCTTTGTTCTTAGTAAATAAGTATTTTTTTATAGTATACTATATAGTTATACCTTATTTTTAATAAGGTTAGCTATAACCTATTTATATATACTTATATATATCCTATATAAAGCTTTTTTTTTTACTAGGTATACTATTACTTTATATTATTTTTATCTTTTACCTCTTCTTAGGTATAAGTAAATAAGTGTTAGTATAACTTATACTATAGTACTAGTTTTAAGTAACTTAAGGTTACTTTTATAGCCCTAAGTAAGATAGTAAAGTAAGTAATTCCTTTTTTTTAGTTTTAGTTCTTAGCTCTTTAGGCCCTTTATACTAAAGGGTATATTTTATTAAGTTTACTTAGCTATAGGCTATATTATCACTTAGCTATTTTAAGTAGTACTTTAGCTAGTAGAGTACTAAGTTCCTATAGTATAGTTATAACTAGTATAGTCTTTTATACTAGTAAGTAGCCTCTTACTACTTTATTAATAGCTATCTATATTTGTCCTATATAAAAAGATAAGCTATAGCTAACTATTAAGAAGCTTCTTTTTCTATATTTAAGGCTAAGTTGTCCTTTACTTAGGTACTAAACCTCTAATATATAAATTACCTTTAAAATAATAATTATATAAATTACCTTTTATATTAACCTAAGTAAAGCTTCTCTATAGACCTAACTTAGCCTTTTAATATATTTTACTATTATATATACTATTGCTATTCTTTTTATACTATATATTTTAAAGCTTAAGTATCTATTTAAGCAAACTCTTAGCTACCTTATAGTAGCACTTAGGGTTATTCTTTTACTATTATAGTATACTATAAAGTAGAAAAATATATAGTATTATAAGAAGTATATTACTTTTATTTTACTTAGGTTAAATAGAATACTGTTTTTTAGTCCCTAGTATATAGTATTATCTAGGATACTCTATACTTAGTCCTAACCTTCTTCTTCTATACCTCTTATATAGAGTATTATATAGTTATTAGTGTAGCTAAACCTTATATAAGTAGAACTAAATTAGTAAAGGAGTTTAATATAGTAAAGGTATAGCACTAGTAAAGCTAGTAACCCCTATAAAAGCCTATAGTATAGTAGCTTAAGGAAAGTAATATACTTTTTATACTATATTTAAGCTTATCTTTATATTATAAATAAGTATACCTATTTAACTAAGTTATTTAGTTAGCCTTACTTTTATAGTATATAAGCTAAGTATTTACTATTTACTATATTAAAAGTACTTTAGATATTTATTATAACTAAGGTATAGTACTTTTACTAATCTAGTGCCTCCTTTAGATTATATATAAAGGCGCCTATAATATTTATTACTAATTAATAAAAAAGGGCCTCTATAACTTATAAATATAAGATATTTAGTTTAATATACTTTTAAGATATATATTTTATAACTAGCTATTTAAGTTCTTTTACTAGTATAGATAGTAGTAAAATTAGTTATTAGCTCTTAGGTATACTAATGTCCTTATTAGCCTTTAGAATTATTACTATCTCTATATTATAAAAGTAGCTTAGGTAGTATTTAACCTAAAGGTAAAACTTATATAGTTACTATATATATATACTAATATATAGCTATACTACTCTTAGTATAGTAATTATAATCTTATTTACCCTTAGTATAGTGTTCTTAGCCCCTAGGAGTACTACTTCTACCTTTACTAAGGGTAGTTCTTTTTTTTACTAGATAGTTCTCTAAGGGACTACTAGTATAAGTAGGTTAATATTAGTATTAGTATTAAAGTGCTTAAGTAAGTGTTTCTAAAGGACTTTAGCCTTTTTAGTAAGGGTAGTAACTATATACTTATTAATCTATAAAAGGGGTACCTTAAACTAACTAAAAGGTTTTTATTAGCCTATTACCTTATATATACCCTAATTTATACTTATACTATTAATCTAGTCTATTTAGTACTTAGCCTTAGCTACCCTAACTGTCTTTTGTAACTCCTTAGCTACTATTATTATATTATTTTCTTTGCCCTGGTTTTTAGCCTAGTGGTACACTTATCTAGCTTAGGAGTATTCTAGTGTCTACTATACTGCTAATTTAGCGTTTAGCTGTTTCTTGCTAGTACTTGTTGCTGCTTTCTGCAGGAGCCCTGTAAGGGCTTAGGCTGCCTTATCGAGGGCGGCCGCGTCGTTCATGTTGTCTAGGAGCATCCACATGCGTTCCTGTATCTCTGTTAAGAAGCGTCCTAGCTCCTCCGGCGTAGCAAGGGATATTTTTGAGCAATTCTTTGGCAGTAGCCCCTTCAGGTCTGGGTGTGAGCTTTTGCGAGCGAGAGATGACATGAGATCTTGCACGGGAGCGAAACTCCTCAGCACTGCAACCAAGGCGACGGGATGAGCTGAAGGGTCGCGGTTCTGATTTGACGATAAAAGTGTTTGCGGGGGAACGAATCCATCCCATTTCCAGCTATGCTGGGGGGGGCGGCCTTTGCTTCGGGCCCCTAGAGGCGGAGAAAGTGATTCCCCCGTCCTCGAAGCAGTCATCTTTCTTCTCGCCACAGAGATGACAGATGACAGTGACATGGGAAGGAGTTAGCGCGGGAGAATGTCAGTCGGTAACAAAACATTTGGTAGATAGAAGCGGTTGTGGAGGTGAGAATCAACAAGCAACATGGCGTATATTCAATGCCATCGTTGCCGAATGTGAAGAAGAAGAGATGCTGTCAGGGAGCAGGGCAAGTTCGTGGTATGGATTACCTTGGTCCGCTTGGGCCCTCCCGTTTATGTCTTGATCATCTGTAGACCCCCGAACTTGGAGATGTTAGACATTAGTGGTGAACATTGTGGACAAGACGCGGCTAGTGACTGACTGTCTTGGGGGGCATCATCTCCAGGCGCTCGTCTGTTCTGCCCCAGCATTCATCCGGCACGGCGTGATGTGAGAAGACTGGACTTGTGGGAGAAGGTGGCTCAGGGTAAGTTGATTCAGGGGCGGCCGATGAAGTTTACCTGCTCATTCACCCCTCGCCCGTCTCCGAAGGTGTCGGCATCAATAAGTCATCGCTAATGTTGAGTCTTGTCATGATTAGACCCTAGTCTCATCTGTCTTCCTCCTTCTACTCCAAGTCATCCCACGCCAGTGACACCAGCAACCCCAACGACGCCAATAACTCCAGACACGCCAAGACAGCGCCGTGTGAGCACTTCCACATCCACAGCAATAGGCAAATGGACAAAGTTGTCGCAAACGTCGCCGAACCTTTGTTGAGGTGGCTGCTGCTGCCAGTAGAATTTCAGATGGCGTATAGTCCGCTAGGTGACTGCTGACATTGCGCTCAAGAGCTGGGATACTTGGGACGGCGCTTGGGGCGGCCAAGGCCGGACGGTTTGGAGGCATAGAGTCCGGTGATTTGCGGCGAACTACCCGCAGCTGGTTAGCACGAGACGACACAGAGAGAGATGGCATTGAGATGGTTGTACCTTGATCCCGTCTTGGATGTTGGCGACTGGAAAGTTGACGTGGCGGCAACGAGGTGGATGATTAACGTCTAGACGGCTTCACAGACGTACGTAGGACTATGAAACCGAGTTACGGGACGAATTTGATGGCGGAGACTAGCACCTTGGTCCGTTGCGTAGGCAGCTTTGTTGGTTCTGTCGGGCCAGAAAGACCGTGTAGCGTTTTCAATTTGGGTTTGGACGACGAAGAAGCCATTAGAAGTTGTCAGCTCGGCGAATGGATGTTGGAGGAAGTTGACTGGTGACTCTCCAATGCGCGTGCGACGGATGGTGGACGACGGAGGAAGAGTCGAAGTGAGATGAAGTCTTTTCTTATCGGCCGATTATGTCATTACAGCACAGCACCGATAAGACATGTTATCTGCCTCTCAGCTACCAACCTACCCACCACACAACAACGTACTCTAGAGCAATGGAGAGTTATTAGGAAATAAACCCGGGAAACTCGCTGGCCGGGCTTTCCAAAAGGCATATCATGGGTTTTGAGCATCAAGAGCGGCTGCTGTAATCGGTGGCGTGCGGGTTGGCTGCTCTGAGAAACGCGCTGCTCGAGTCTCAACTCGAGTTGCCAGTTAGAGACGGCAAGATGATGAACTTTAATCTCGTTGTTTCACCATTACATGAATGTTTGAAAAGAAAACAGAGCTACGCGTACGATAACCACGTATCATCACCTACTGCGATTCTTCCCAGCGCCAAAGCCGTATTCCAAAACTCCCCAAAGTGCATGCATTTATTAGCAGCATCAGCCACCCATTCCTTTTTCCACACCCCAAGCCTCTGATGCCAGTCAGTGTTTCATTTCGGTCGAGGTGGTCGACGTCTTCATCGCAATCTAGGAAGAAGCCGAAGAAATAGCGGAGAAGCACGATTTGATCGTATAGACGACGCAGAAGATGATGACGATGCGGAAAATGACGTGCAAGGTGGAGAAGTTGGCTTCAGAATCGGGGTCCGGATCAGGGTGACTCCACCTCTGTGGGTTGTTACGGTGGGCGCGCAGCCTTGTGACTCGGTAGGCCTGGCATTATTCCAGCAGAGTCAGCTTTGTAATCAAATGGATGGCAAGAACAGGAGGGAGGAAATGGAGCAGGCCGAAGGAAGAGGGAGGGGGGCTACTCACATGAACTGCGTCCATGATATCCGAGACAATCAGCATGGAATGGCTGCGAGCAAGCCCAAGCCCCTCAAAGTATTGTAGGCCCCATTCGCGCTGCAAGTAGTGAAGATCGGACCCAGACAGACAGATGTCGGCGGCAACGATGCGGTGCAATTGTTTGCGAAAGGCGAGAATATTGGCCACCCAAGCCTGAGCTTGATCGACAGTGCTGTCGAAGCCGGGGTAGGTATTGATAAGGTGTCTCATGTACTTGTCACGGTCCGGAAACACAGACAGCTGGTCTTTTGGTTTGATGCCCTCCTGGATGGGCTGCTCGTGTGATGCGCTGTTAGGAGGAGGCGCTGTGTTGCTGTCATGCTTCTTCTCCTCGTTGTGGTCTTCAGAACAATGTGAATCGCAGGGGGCGGAGGATTGGTGCTCTGCACAGTGATCCATTGCGTTGGTGGTGCTCATGTCAATGCAAGGGGTTTGACTCTGAGGCACTGCACTGTCAGCAGAAGACATGTTATCCTTGAGTGAAAATCTGACCCTTGGTTAATGAGAGAAAAGCATTGGCCTTTGGCGGTGAACAAGGGGTGCAAGAGGGGTCGTCAGGCTGGCCGAGATAAAGAGTGAAGAAAGAGATGGTGTGGTGTAGTGGCGAGGTTAGTTAGTAATGGATTACAAGCAAGCTTTTATGGCCAATAAATCAGGCAGGTAGGTGAACGAAGGTGAGGTGAGCGCCCGCCTAATCAATTCACATTCACCCATACAGGTGAGCTTCTCTCTCCCTCCTTCTCTTTCTCTGCGAATCGACCAGAAATATGACAACCATGAGAGGAAGGAGCAGGGAAGAGACTGGAACCAAAGCACAGAGAACCAGAAATCTGCGAAGGAGGAGGAAAGATGCACTGGAACCAAAGCTGAAAGAACTAGGCAACTACGAAGAGAAAGAGCAGGAAACATGTACTGGAACCAAAGCTGAAAGAACTAGGCAACGGTGAGAAGAAGGAGCAGGAAAGAACCAAAAGTGAAAAGGCATTGAAAGGAGGGTAACCAAGGGAAGGGACAGTGGGGACAGGCTGCCTTCAAGGAAGGGGTGGACCAAGAACTTCTAAGCAGCTTTTTTTCCTCAAATTGTTTCTTCTTTTTCTTGTTCATCATTGGACTCTTTGTCTTGTTACTCCCCCAAGTTTATTTTCTGATTCTTCTTCTTTCCATCCTTTTGTCTGGTCGTCTTGGTTATCATCTTTATCTACCTACATACAATCTGGACTCACCCATCTCTAAACAAGCCAAAGTTGGCAACTTCTTGAGACGCACGAGCTTTCGACATATCACCACCATTTCTCATCTTCTTACCCAAATGGCGGCCGAGATGCAGTATCCTCCACCATCGTACGCACAACGGCCACATGATGACAACATGTCCATATCGGATTCCCATCTCCAGCACCAGGGATCGTATCCTCCACGAAACGTCATCGTCTCAGTCCCTCTTGCCGACTACCTGACGACTGGCGGAGAAGCGTACCACCGGAGCTACCTTGCGGCCCTGATCGCCATCGCATCCTCTAGCGGTGGACCCGTGTTTCCAGTTATCTTCCCAGATGCAAGCCAAGGGCCTGGGGCTTTACCCTACTAGGATTGGCGGAACCTCCTCCTGGCCCTGCTGTACACCATCGTTTTGACTGTCATCTTCTCCCGCCGTGGACTTGCTATGTGGTCACAAACCGCCTTGTACCGCTTTTTTAATGCCTGGTGGTTTGGCTGGATCGCCAAGCCAGCCCAGAGGCGTGGAGTCTGAGCGCTCATGACTGGTTGTTGCCCCCCCTCTCGCTTCATTGACAAGGACTGTAGTCTGGCTAACAAGAGCATCAGCACGCTTTGGACACAGAGGCAGGTCCTTCAGACAGCAGAGTCTTGGTGGAAACTTGGGATTCCCCCAAACCAAGGCGGCCAACCTTCTGATGGCGTGGAATGCAGCCCAGCCTTAGACACTTGGAAGAACGAGTCCATTGGTCGGGGAACGTCTCTTGTTGCCTCGAAACACACGACAGAATGACGCACGTGTCCTGAGCGGGTTGTGGAGGCCATTCTCACTCGCACTCTGAGTCTCCCACTCATACTCATACTCCCTAAAGATCGTATTCTTAACATCAAGAAAGTAGTTCATTTTTCTTTAAGATCTACACATTAATTGGGAAACTTGGCAAATTCGATAAGTTCGGTTCACCTCTTCTTTTCCCTCTATTGCCATCAGCACCTTGTCCCATCACCGCCACCATTGCGGTCCTTGAACTCTTAGCGATGACAGCTCATTTACACCTATTCATTTGATCTTCATCAATCGTCGACAATATCCTCCCTCAACTCCACAACCAGATCCACCGTAGCCCCACGCCTTGGCTTACTCCACCATTGAATCCCAACGCCTCAGAAGAGGCTTTCAACCCTTGTGTTGAAAAGTGCCGCCTTCGACGTAGTGGTGTCTATCATGTGTACTCTGCATGCTTACCATCGTCCCCAGCCCCACCTTCCGAGGTGCCTTTGAGACGCAAGCGTTGGAATCGCAGCTCCTGTCCCGAATTTTGAGGCATCAGGAACCTAATGGCTGCCGGGAGGGACTTACTCATAAGGGGGCTCTTTCAGTACTTCAATGGTGCCTTGGAAAAAACGGTTTGCGAGGTCATATACAAGGATATGATTCAAGCCGAGCTCCTCTACATCTGGGTGACAGTCATCATGTCCATGTATTTTCTTTATGTGTGGGTGACGTTAGGCCATGATATATCTTCTTGACTTTGCACTTCTTTTCTCTCTTCGTTTAGTGAAGAGAAAACTCAGTCTATGCCACACAATCCATCATCACCAGCACCAACCACAACTATTCATGCGTAAAAAAAAGTCTAACCATACTATCTGATTCTCCTCCCTTCCTACACCGTGTCACGTTGCAAACAAAAGTGCTATAAACACCTTCTCTTCCTTGTCTGACTGAAAAAACGTGTTAGACGCGGCAACTCAAGACTTTTTCAGCGGTCCAAAGCCTCACGCTACTCAGGACATTGGCTGACCACCTTGTGAAAGGGGCCTTGGTATCATCTTGAGGCGCTAACCAGACAGACTGCAAATACAGGAATCCCATGGCTTGTCAGGACGTCATTGTTGCTGGAAAGGCTCGGTGACCGTGTTCACCAGACGGATAGGAGTTTCGGGAACAGACTCGCCAGACGCTTTGAGTGACTAACCTGAATCCCCGTCAAGACAGAGACGGGTTATACGGCCAGGGTCTTCATGTGCCAACATCAACAAGGCGTGCAAGTCCAAGGAGCTGAAAGGCCCTCTTGTCTAATCAATCTTTCATAACATGGGTAGGACACATCTTCCGATCTGCGTACACATCTAGACCAAGTTTCCTAAAAAATGGTTCCTAGGCCCCGTGTTTACCCTACTCCTTAGATGCCACACATCCGAGGCTTCTGGGCCGTCCATATACGCCTTTGCTAATTAGTAACTGGCATTAAAAGGATTTCCTGCACAAAGAAAGCAAGGTGACCTAGCTAAGGATTCCTAGTAATAAGAGGACCTGCTTATATTTTGTAGGTTCTGGTAACAGCAGAAGACACTTTGGCACTAACGGTACCTGTAGCTAATAATGCACATACAACACCTAGGCTAAGCTCAATGAAGCCCTCTTCCTGCAAAGTAGTCTTGACCGGATCCGTCAACGGCTGCGTGTGCGAGGCCGAGGCTCGCATATGCATCTGGTGGGCTTGGGGCTGCTGGTGATGGACCTGGAGCTGCATCAACCAACCCCCGGGGTGGAGGGCCAAGTAAGCCTTTCGGTACAGCCACTTCAAATCATCTGTATCGCTCTGTGTCGTCAAGAGATGGATTGTGGCAGCTGTGCCATCAGCGCACGCCTTGACTTGGCAACTTTCTGGGATAAAGTCGATAGACGTACGTTTCCTAGCGTTATCTTAGCTATAATGAGCAGTGGCGGGTTGGAAAGAGATAACTGAGAGAATACCTTTGCTGCCGGTAAACATAGGCCCGTAAGGTAGATAGGTCATCAGTGGCCTCAGAGGCTCTAGGGGCAGAGGCAGTAGGTCTAGATTAGTACACAGTCTATATTTTGACTATGAAGAACCATACAAACTGTTAGCAGACGGTGATACAAATCCCAAGAGCTTAAGTAGGCCATTCTCAAATGCGCCAAGAAAAGGTTGTGAATATCCTGCAGCCGGGAACGTCCGGCCTGCTCATCCTGTAACGTGGCGTGTTACTCATAACGTTAGTTAAGACTAGTTGAAAGAAGAATGCAGAAGTAAGTAAAACAACAAACTTACGATTCCTTGTGGAGCAAGTGGCACCCACACGCGATGCGCCAGGTAGTCGGGATGATTCTGATTTGCGACGCGCGGCGCTCGGCGCGACGGAGGCGGCATTGGTTGTCGGCGGCGAACTTCCGAAAGGTCTGCTTGGTCAATCCGATGTTTAAGACAGAGTGTAAGTCAAACTACCCACTTTCCGCCCACCCCTGCATTCCGCCCACCCAAAATTAAAGCCATCACAACTAACACCACTTTATTCAAATAACTATTAACTACCTCTTAAAGCTATAATAATATAGCTTTTAGCCTTACTAGGTAATTCTAATACGCTAGATTTAGCTGTATCACTTTTAGCCTTACTAACCTTAATTTATGCCTTCTATATATCTCTAATTATTATAAATTTAATATTTAGATCTAGATAAACAGCCTTCTTTTTCCTTACTATACTGTTATTAATTTTAGCCTATAGAAGCTCTATTTAATAATAGGTAGTAGCTAATTAAAAGGACTACTACTAGAAGCCTTTTTAACCTTTCTAAAAAGCTAGCGTTATATAGTAATGTTTTACTTTAGTTAGCTAAATAGGTGTAATTAATCCTTAAGGTCTTTAACCTTCCTTAGTATAGACCACTTAACAGTAGATAAATATTCCTTAAAGTCCTAGCTAGTATAGGTATTATAAGCCTTTTTTACCCTCTTATTAATTAGTATTAATAGTATTAATAGTGTTAATATATCTAGTAATAAATAGGAGCTTATTAGAGGCTTAGTAATAGTAACTAGCTATAACCTAGTGTATTTTTAGCTACTTTTAATATTACTAGTAGTTAGCTTAGCCTAGTAAGCCTTATAGTAGTAAGATATAAATAACCTTTTACTAATAATAGTTAAATTATTTTACTATATAAGGTATCTAAGCTTCTTATAATAAGCTGCCTTTATAGGACTAAAGACTACTTAATTAAGAGGCTAGAGGATATAAAAAGTATATAGTAATAAGAATAAAAAATAGACGTTATTAGTATAATATAACTATATAAACTTTATTATTATATAGCTTTTATACCTATCTAGAATAAGTAGTCTAGCCTTATAAGGTTAAGAAGGCTTAGTCTAAAGGAAAAAGACCCTCTATAGCTACTTAATAGTAGTATTATTAGTAGTCTACTTATTTTTTATTACTATAAATTCTTATTCTTTATATAGATTAAGATCTAAAAAGAACTACTACTTTTAGACCTTTTTACTTTTATATATAACTAAGGGATAAATAGTATTACTTTTAGTAAATATATACTTAATAATAAATACCTAGGCTTATAATCTAGGCTACTTTTTCCTTACTACCCTTATAGTAGCCCTACCTAGCACTAGGCTATTATCCCCTTTACCCTTAAGGATACTAGTCTTATCTATATTATATCTATTAGGTAGGTTAATAGTAGTAATATAAGGTATAGTAAGATATTTAAACTAATTCCTAATAACCTTAGTAAATACCTTATTAACACGCCTAGAATTAATAAAGTAACTTCTTTAGACCTTAATAGATAGATACCTTTATAAGAAGGTATTTACTTATTACCTTCCTAGAGGTTAGGTATCTCCTATAGCTTAGAGAATACACTAGGTAAAATCCCTTAGTTATTAACAGGTTAGAGGAAGCCTAAGATTAGCCTAATTTTATACCTAACTAGCCAGGCTGGCCTCCTAGGCATAAGATAGTTACTAGAGGTCTTTAAAGGCAGCAGCCCTCTTTTAGGTACTGTTCTTCTAGTCTTAAAGTGTTAATTATAGTATACCCTATTGCTTAGAGGCATTATAAAAAGATATACCTTTTATAATAGCAGTAAGTGCCTAATTAATTTTAATTTTAGTATATTTAGTTACTAGGTAATAAGGAAGGTATTCTAAAAAAATAAAGTGATTTAGAGAAAAATAGAAAATGTTGTGGCACTTTGAAAATTGAGGCTATCTAGAAAGTGGGTGGCTGGGCGGCATTTTCTAGGTGGGCGGAATGCAGGGGTGGGCGGAAAGTGGGTAGTTTGACTTAATGTGTGTGTGCAACCAACAGTTGGGGCGAGATTGGTGGCAAAAGAGAGACAAGAAAGAGTTGGCCTTGTCTGAAGCTGCCCGCCAGGAAATATAGGGAGGGGGGAAGAAAAATTCTAGCACCTGGAGAAAGAAAGTGGAAGAGAAAAACATGGGGTAGATTGCTGTGGCTGACGTTATTGAAGCAAACAAACTCACAAAAAGAGAAGAAGTACTTGGGGGTGTTAGTAAGCAAGCTGAGAAATCTAAACACCCCCTCCTACGGAGGGGGCGAAAAAAGGGGGGTCACAGCAAAAAAAGGGGGGTTGCACCTACATCACAAATAGTATTACTTTTAGGTGTAATATATAGTATAACTAACTATTTATTTCTTAAAGTAATAACTATAATAACTATAGATATTAACAAAAGTAGTATTAATTAATAGCCCTAAATTAGGGCTTTATAATAGTACCTTTAACTTTTTATTTATATAAAAAATATAAATTTATATTATAAATATAATAAAGCTACTATTAAATATATTATTTACTTTATATTACTACTTTCTTCTTTTTTATAATAATAGGGGGGTAACTAAAAGGTTTAGTACTTACCTAGTACTTTACTAAGTATAAATATTATATATAATATAATAATATATTAATATATATTATAATATAGTTACTTATAATAGTAGTATTATTAGTAAATATAGTAATATTATATTGTTATTATTATTATTACTATTAACACTAGGTATACTAACTAATTTATTACTACTTTTAACCTTATTCTTGTCTTT